TTTATAACAGAATGCGTACAGTTTTTAACAAAACAAAAAATAGCAGCAAATGTACAATTGGATGAGCAAAAGCTGATAATGCTAATGGGTGTAGGTGGTAAAGTCGGGAAGATATATAATATATAACTGTTTTCAACGAAAAATTATTGCTAACGAAATAAAATTCTAAGTGAACTTCGTTTGTAAATGTTTTGGAAAAATTTAAATTCAAAACTTATATATAAAAAATAATTACATAAATTTAACTTTTTTTTTTTATCACAAAGTACATCTTATGATGAACCTCATGAAAAATTTTCAAGTATTCCTGGTTGGCCCAAACACAAATTTCATTCACATAAAATCTAATAAAACTAAATTAAACTCAATAGTTTTAAATACCTATAAATAACTAAAAAAAAAACGCCAAAATGTTTTAAAAATTTTACCATTTATAAAAAAGGCTCAAATAAGTATTAATATCAAGTGTCAATAGATATCTGAACTAAAGAATAATAGAAAAAAAATCAAAACAAAAATAAAGAAATCATTATTTCCGTACATTTTTCTGTTTTTCATATGTCTTTTCCCAAATCAATGCCTCAATTTACAGGCAAACAATTGCTTACAATTTTTTTTTAAAAAAAAAACCACCTTATGCATCCGAAATGCATCAAAAAAGCTCTCAGATCGTTTTTGATCAGAGCAAGATTTTCGGTAGAAAATTTGTTTATATATATATAAAAAAAAAAAAAACCACTTGATAATAAAATCACAATCCAAAACATTTCCTAGTGGAAATTATATTTAATAGCAACAGTAGTTATCCGCCAGGAGCACAAACGAAAATCTTCGATTTCCGTTCGCTTATCGGCGTTGTAAAATTAATTTTTTTTCACCGGCACGCAGTGTGTAAAAGTTTATATTATATAATATTGTGTGCATTCCGTTTACAAGGTACTTTTACAGCGGTATTTGTAATCCAATTGTGTTCTCGGATAGCGCACAGGGCACGTCGCGCCGCCGTTCTCCGGCAAATCAAATATTATAATTTTCCGTAATGAAATTCAGTTTGGAAATCCGCTCTTGATATTATCTAATTTGCGACGGCTTGTAGCTACCTTATACGTCTAATTTTCCCGGCGGCACAGTCGTTTTAGGGGTGCGATTAGCGTCATCGTTGTAAACGGAATTTTAAATGCATATATTATTAAATCTGGTGAGTGTATTATGACGGGAGAAAATCGTAGCAAATGTACAGCATAGACCCTCGATGATTCGTAATTCGGTTGAATATTCGGTTTTATAGAGGTTTTCGGTTTTAGCTAGAGCTCCAATTATCTATGATGAGAAAAAAAATAATACGAATTGAAGAGAGTTGCAAAATTGCATTGCGTATTTATTATTTAGTTTACATTTATTATTTATTGTAGGTACATAATACTATAACAGCATTTTGGGAAATCATTACTGATAAATTATTAATATACCATCGTTGTCACCCTTGTTATTTTTCTATGCTAAAATTATAAGTTTTACCGAATATAAATACGAGTAATTTCGAATCACGGAATGTCTTTGCAAAATTATTCAAATATTGTAGAGCATCCTACACATTTGAATTGTCGAACATTTACGAGGTTCGATTTATGGAGTTTTTTGAACTGTTAATGTTCGAATTATTAAAAAACATTATACTATTATGGGAATTTTTTTATTAAATAATTTGGTTTAGCTACAAGTTCCTAATTAAAAAAGTAACTAATCAAAAATGTACAAGTTACAAAGTTTTTTTTCAATTGGCTTTTATTGTTTAATTACTAGTAGTTATAATAGTTACTCGTTAAAACTGAACAAGTTATAATTTGCATAGTTTGTAAAAATAACGATTACTAATTTGAGAAAAAAAACTTGCCAAGTGCGGTCGTTTTAATGTTAGCTCAACCATTGTTAATTCTATTGGTAATTGTTGTATTATATTATTGTTAAATTATACAACTCAGATCACTTAATCACTTCATAATTTTAAAAATGTTAATAAGCCACCATATATCCACATCAGATGACCGAATTTTGAAGAAACAATTAAGACAACCTTCATGAATTTATGTAAGAAACGATTTTTCGATAGTAATATTACGTTAACTAAATGTTATCACATTGTAAATAGAGAGGCTGTAGAGAATAGAAATAAATGAAGATGCATGCTCAGAGGACCGGTATTAAAGTCTGTTGTTTCTTAAAAAGAAGGAAAAGAGGCAATATAAATTAACCATGCTCTATATTGGTTTTGATAATATTTCAAGTACTATAAGTTTACTAGTTAGGTCCTAGTTTTGGTAAGTTACATACTATTTGTGTCCAAACGTTAAAAATCAATGCATGATATTTTTCTTCTCATATTTACAGACTTGGAACTTGGGATTTATTTTTCTAGAGATTTTTTTTGTCATACTGTCATATTATTCATTTATCGTTTTATAAAATATAATCACTCATTTTATTTTTCTAAACTCCCGAACTATTATAATACAGTACTAAACGACTAGTACAAACAGCTGGAACCTAGAGCCCAACTAGTATATAGCTCTCATAAACCCGGGACCAAACTATTATTATTTATAGGTATATTATGGCTGCTGACTTCATACCTCATTGCACTCACATAGTCAGGTAACCATTAGTTATTAATAAATATAAATATTTTTGTCTACCACATAATGCTCCCGAAAATTCCTAAATTTTATACATTTCATTTTTTCATAATTTCCGGGTATATTTTTAGAGTATTTCGAAAGGTGTTTACTCGGTACATTTTTCGGCAACTATGGCAATATTTTTTTACAGTTTTTAAAAGATTAGATGCTATCCATTTTCTAATTATCGAAACAAGTTTAGGCATATAATAATACCACGCGAAATTAACCACCGTGTGATACTCGCGATTTCACGTCACATAACGAACGGCTACCACATTGTTGTTACTACGATAGTATTGTCGTCGCGTCTATTATTATTATTGTGTGGTTATACACGTTTGATTGGCGATAGGTAGGTACAAATATTTGCGTTTGAATACATGTACACCTATATACATACAGAGGATTTCTGACGACGCGCGACGAGGCGGTAATCCGCATCATCGTGTCATTTCAACCCCGTTTTGACTATAAACCGAGGGCTAGCATTGTTCACGTGCCCCTCTACCGTGCCTATCATCTATACTGTGGGAGGACGAGGAGAAGTGAGCAAGGAGTGATAAAGAGGGTTTTCATATTTTACATACCCACACACACACACACACACACACAGCTTGACAGCAAATCCTGTGGTAGCGTCGACGGCCTTCACGGTACATCGAAATGATAAATTAAGAACGCGCGCGTTGTCCCCGCCCCAATATCGTGTCATACACCTCTTCAAAAACCCTTTCTCTCACCCGATGTTTTACATATTACTGTATTTATGCTTGTAACTGTCCCCTTCTGAACACAAACACTTTTTCCTACAGCGGTTTTTTCTTAAATTTTTCATTTATCTTGGATAACACCATCCCGTGTAATTTCTTTTCTTTCACGTCAAGTACATAATTATAAGTGATTCTGTGCATTTCATACGACACAAATGCATTTAAATCCAAAAAAAGCAATGTTGTGATTACCCATGAACAGCATAGGCAAAAGTAATATGTATTGTACTAGTGTCAGGAATATTGATTTTGAGAGTTTAAACATTTAAGCACTGTCCGCACTGTTTCAAGGTTGGATTTTAGGATAGAGTGTTATGAAATACACAATTCCGGATAAATTTCAAATTTTTAACCAAAAAAACATTTTTTTCAATAGCGACTCATATGTTTATCGATTTGAAAAGCTCTTTTTTAATCAAACTTTGATCAATCTAAATCTGAATTTGAAAAAAATATGCATCAATCGTAAAGTATGTGTTGTTTTAGGATTTATGATTTTATCTTTAAAAATCAGTTTTTTCTGATAAAATAGTTTTCAAATTTCTTGGAAAAAATAGGATTTAAGTTTTAAATTGGAATTAATAAATAACGTACATATTTTTATACTCCCTATCATTTCCTGAAAACAGAATTCGAATCTAAGATAATCTGGACGAAAAGTTTACTGTTTCCAGAAAACGTCATCATACTGTATAGTATTTTTTTTTACAAAAAATATTTCCACAATGTGAAATAGAACTTTGGAAAACATGATGGAGCTCAAACGTAGATTTTTTTTTGTAGTTTTAATTAGTTTTTTTGGACGGAATTTAAATGTTTTTTTTTTTTAACATTATTTTTATTGCGTTTTTTTTAAGCATTAAATTAAACCCCCATTATATTTTAGGTAAAATATTATTGAACCGTAAACTTATACAAACCTACATCCATAGGTCGTAATATCGTAATAACAATATTGCGTACGAAGGACAAGTTTATTGACTGCAGTTAGGTACATATAGAGGAACCTATAAAATAATATTATAGTAGAAATAGTTTATCGCAATTATCGATCGCATCCCTCTCTCAGTCCAGTGGGTACTTCTCGCGCGACCTATACGCACGAAAACGAAAAACCGATCGAAAGTTTCACGTAATATTATTATCGACACGCGCCCCTAATTATATGCCATTCTAATAATATCTATAGGTAATAGTCATGTGCCAAATTAAAGGGATGAAAAGATTTGAAATTTCAAACGAGGCCAGTGAGGATAAGTCAAAGTTAGATTTTACGTTTCAGAGTGAATGAGTGATGAATGTGTTAATTTTACAAACATATACATATATTCTTTTTTCGACGTATTTTCGATTTATAAAAATCTTCGTTCGCTAATAAATTTTACTGCCTGTCAGTCCTTATACTAAACTCTGGAGATAAACAGTGTACACATATTATAAACCTTACTTTTGGAACTTTTTGGACTTCTGAACATTTAATAATGGGCATTTTATAATAACCCGGAACGCATATTATTCGAAACATTTAGTTACGATTAAAATTAAAATTACAAATATTTTTGTACCGCTTTTCGTTGCTCACATCAGTAATAATACTAAATTTCCTTCATGTGTCGCGGTTTTAACTTTTGATGTACGTTAATAACATAATTTGACAATAAAAAGACCTAGTGACCTATAATATGTATACTAAAACTATATATATAGTTTAAAGTGTTTTTAAGTTTTTAAGTGAATAAATTTAAGAGTTAGTTACTATATATTACCTGATTTATAATTTGAACGATGGGATGAGACAGGTTCGGTTTTATAGGTTTTTTTTTTTTGCGTTCATACTGGTTTAAATTATTAATTTCGTTTAGTGAATATAGAATGCTATGGAAGAACGCATAACATTACTATTGCAATAAGTAAAACGATTTTGTTATCGTGTGTTTAAAACTATTAGTTATGTTTTGTGTTTTTACAGTTTGTATTTTCGTTCCTATTTCTTTAGATCCTAAATCGATAAAATATAATCTATCCCGTACTGTAAATAAATTGTTTTCACACTGTAAACAAAGAAGAACCGGTATCGGTATCGAAAACCGATAGAAGAATTTTCGAAACCGAACACGAAACGCTGTTTGTCAAAAACCGGCCCATGCCGTTTAAAAACCAGTTAATTATACATTAAATTACAATGACTGATAATTCCGCGAACCACGAGTTTCGGTTTATCCACCGGGGAGGGGAGAGGGGGTGGAAAGATGCTTTAACGTAATATTGTAGTGTAGATGATTCGGCGACAAACCCGATTCACGGTATAGTCGGAAGACGACCGTATAGTAAACTGAAATATTCCCTCGTCGAAAACTGTTGTTCGACTTTATACTTGCAAAACCTATACTTAGTGGGCTTTTAGATCTATATGTACTGCACGGAAGAAAACGGTCGAATTATTCCGAATATCCACCGGAATATTTCTAAACCGTACACACGTGATGGGTATACGGGCATGGGAAAAAATACATCGGTCCTTATCATATTATTAAAACCCATATAATAGCGAAATACATTTTTTTATTGGAAACCTTTATGATCACGTATATATTATAAGTAATAATATTAGACCCGACGTGACCGTCTTTTCGACCTGTGCGGGTCCTGAATTCTTTCCCATACACGCATATTTCGTATAGAATAAGCAGCAGAGTTCTTCGCTATAATATTATCGATTTTTTTTTTTCACTCCCATACCCCCCTTTTTTTTTTGATTATTCAATATTCAAATAATTCGTTTACATACACATAAGTTTCGTTCGTTTATCATTTTTTTCAAACATATTTTTTGTACGCATCTTGAATCATCTCCATTCGATATAATGCGTAAAACGTGGGATGCACAAGGTATCCCACGAATATAATGACATACTCATTGCAAAAATAAAAACAATCTGCAGTAATAATTTATTTTCACTATCTTAGTATCTTTAAGGATCTCAAGGGTCTCAAGGAAGGCGCAGATAGATAATACCAAAATACACAATTTGGGAGAACTAAAAATGTTTTACACTTTTAGTGCGTGCGTACGCATTACTTTTCAACTTTTATTTTACCAAAATAGCATAGGTAAACGAAAAAATGATTAGACTGTACCGATATAATACTATAAGCCGTTCACTAGATTACTTAACTGTCCGATTTATTTTCAATTAAAGTTTTCGAAAAAGAAAAAAAACATCGTAATGTTCTCGTAAACAAAAAAAAAAAAAAAAGAAAGAAAAAGGCGTTTTAATTGCATTTTCTACACTTTTATAATTCTTTTTTTTTTTTACTCGTTTTCTTCTCCAACATAAATAACAATTTTTGCGCTGCTTTTCATTTGAGTTCTAGTGCTAATTACCACTGTTTGTATACTCGCACTTGTACATAATACCTATAATACGTAGTGCCTAACGATTCGAGTATTTCACAAAAACTTAATATCACATTATGTGATAACAACGACTTTGATGCGCTTATATACGTTTTTGGAGCGTATGTCTGAAAAAAAAAGTTATATTGTTTCCTCTTACACTCTCTCTTATTAAATACGGGCTAAGATTTTCTTTTTTAGTCAAATACCGTATGTATGCTTCTTTATATGTATAATATAGTAAAAACTGAGAAGACCATTTTCTATCTATTTCTTCCTACCAGTCACGTATGTAAAAATACGAGTATTTTTCGGCATACAAACATTTCAAAAATGTTTGCCGGATAAAGAGTTTTCTTAGTCGGATTCTTCCGTAAAACAACACAACATACACCAGCGCATGTAGTTGAGTTAATAATATTAATAATTAAATCGTCTATTTGTCTTTTGTGAACGTTTTGTGTCATGAGATATATCCGAAATAGATTAAAATTATATGAAAATCAACAGTCATACAAAATGTATACTTGTTGGAATTTGTTGAAGCTCCCCTTTTTTAACCACCCCATCTTTTATTTTGTAATGCTAACTTCAAATCCACCATTATAATTTTATAAAAACTGTTCAAAAACATTCCAATAATGTTCAAATACGCTTGTTGGATATTGTTGAATATTTATTAGATATTTTCAGAACTCTTTTTTGATTTTAATAAAAGCATATTAAAAAGCTATTTAATGCTAATTAAAATACAACTTTGAACGGGTTCTTGGTATATTAGACTTGCATAATAATATTAGTTAAAAGTTCAGAATTAGGTAATTTATTAACATACGATTTACATTAAATTACGCATGATGTACTAAAAGTTTTGAAATAAATGACTATTCTAGATATTCAACAGTTTTATGAAAAAAGAAGGCTAAAAAAATGTCCAATCAATATTTAAAAATGTTCAACAAGTGTATTTAAACATTGTTGGAACAGTTTGAATACAATTTGAATGCTTGGTGTGAATTTTTCAATGTAAAGTTTAACTTGGAATAAATGAAAAGGAGATTTCAACAAGTTTCCAACGATGTCCAGCAAGCTAGGATAAGTGTATTTGAATATTGTTTGAAGGTTTTTGAATAGTTTTAATACAATTAAAATGATAGGTGTGAAGTTGACGTTAAAAAATTAAAGGTGGGACAGTTAAAAAAGAGGGGCTCCAACAAATTTCTACAAGTTGCTAACAATTTCTTACATTAATGTAGATGATACTTATACTTTGCCGTCATACGGTATTTTTATAATGTACTGTGCAGTGGTGACGACAAGTGATAGTAGGCAAAAAGTGTACAAGAGTGCAATCAGATGGAAAACGTTATAACAGTGACTATACTTATTAATATATAACGGAGCGAATAATATGAACGGGATTAATATTAAATAATTTACTCATTTTGTTATCGTAAACAAACGGCGATTTGCCGAGTATAATATTATAATGATAATATTGTTTATGTTATTGTTTCGCGTGTTTTTCTTGTGCGGAATATCTAATTAACATAATATTTCATCACAACACGGTGATTTCGTCGGTTGGATGACTAAAAGATAATAAAGTGTAATTCTTTATTCGTTGAACACACATTATTTAAACAAAATATTGAGTTTTACTATAAAAATTTATTTTAAAAATTTAAGAAACAAGTTGCTTTAAAATTGTAACAAGTATTTTTTTGCCATCCTTTTTTTTAGGGGACAATGATAATAAAGAACCACGCTGTACTAGGTAAGCATCCATAAATACCTTTAGATAATTATAGATACTTACGGTATCTAGAGTAGAGTAGTATTTGAACTCGTGTGCGTGTGTATGATGTATTTGTCGATTTTGTATTATGTCAACGACTAAACGCGATTTTATCGCCGGTCGCAAACTCGCAATGTATACTTACACGACACACGAAACCCGGCGGGGGAAAAAATCCCGTTGAAATATATTGCTGTGGTCTATGCCATCTGCAGGGGATCGACCGTAATCGCGTGGTATCATCGTACAACGTGCACGCCGTCGTCTTTTAGGTCAGGTTCGCCTTTGTCGTCGTTGGCAATACCGTTCGTTTGAAACTTTGAAATACAATAATATACAGGGCGATTGTTGTTGTTATCAGACCGGCGGCGATTTTATCAGTCCATACGGACATTGTGATTTGGGGGATTTTTTTCTGAATTCTGTCCACTGACATCGTCGAACCGTTTGACGGTATTATTTTTACAAACATAAATAAACAAATATTTTAAATATTTCAAACATTTTACCCGCGTTCCGAATACCATATACACACACACACACACACTCAGTCATCGGATGTGTACGAAAATGTCGAGTTTGATAAAGTGTGTTGTGGATCGTACTCTGTATTCTAAAATCGAATATGTATCGCGCTCTGTTGAAATTATTAAATAGTTATTAAAGTATTAATCAAACGATTTAATTATTTATAAGTTGGTTGACGCTAACAAATATGACGCACAAGTAACGGATCATCAAATGTATGAATTATTTAATTGGATCTAAATTAAGCAGTCAAAAGGGAGGATGGAATTTGATAAACCAGACGTTTTGGTTCTCACTGAAAATATCAGTGAAAACTAATCATGTTTTAAACAAGATGTATTCATTTATTTGATCGCTACTGTAACAAACAAGAAAACTAAAGAATTAAAAGCGACCCAGTCATTTAAATTTATCGGTCAACGTTGGAATGAAACGGTTGAAAACGCTATAAGTGTTTTTAATAATATACACAGTCGACGATATTTTAATCTCATTTGGAATATTATTATGTTCTACGTCGAAATGAAATCACGCTAAAAATTTCAAATTTTTCACCGGGAAGAACCAGGACGTAGAAATTTCGATTTTTTGCGAATCTTCGGAAACTGGCCGAAACGCTTGGAATCGATTTTTATCGTTATCTTATTTTGTTTTTCTCTTAACGTACGTCTAATCGTCGACTACGCTGATATGATATATTATTCAAACTGCAATCCGTATTGGCTTGTAGCATAATATCCAAACATATGGATACAAGTTATGCAACTTCCTAGGCACGTAGGTGCTTGTTCTAAATATTTAAACAAATTGTTTAATAAAATCGAACTTGGTTAACTCGAACTTTTTTAATTCGAAATCGCCGATACCTCGAACTTTTTCCCCGGTCCCTAGAATTGCCTATTCAAACAATGCAAAAACATCTTGTTGAACTTGAATATATTATCGAACAACTCGAAAGTTCGATTTTTATAATTGTAAAATTACAACGCGTATTTCTCTCATGTACGTACATTTACTTTTGAAAATAAGGTCATTAGTGTTATCGTTACCTAACGATGACACTAATAACACAAAATAAATAAGGGTTCATCTAACTGGTTTACTACGCGGCAACGATTCACTGTCCACTAACGCGCATCATGTTCGCTTCGACGATCAGTGTTCCGTTACGTAATTTTTTTTTGTAATGCGGATAACTTTAACTTTTTTCTCGGTCCCTTCAACTTCCGAGTCGGCCGGGTTTGACTGTATATTGAGGGGAAAAAAAATTAAATAATCAATATTTTAGTGGACACCGTTCCCGTACGAAATATTATCGTAATATTCGGCGGATCGCGAACGAAATAATCTCGTCGTACGGGGCGTAATTTTAGCCGCCGGCGCGTAATAAAATACCTCCGCCTTGATTACAATAACGCGATAACGTACGAACACATCTGTGTGGCCGCGCCCGGCGTTCTAAGGGCATAACGAAGTGCGGAGGGGCGCGGTGGCTGAATGGGGCGCACGACCCGGCGGACCGTCTCGGCGCGATTCGCGTTTACGGAAAACAAAACTGCAATACGTGTACGCGTGCACGCGGCCGTATGTATACACGCGTATCGCGGTCCCGAGGGACCGGACCGAAACCGTACGGAAAAAATATTCGGGCGTAAGATAATAACGATTCGTGCAAGTGCGCGCCCGTTTAGCGAAAACGCCCGCCGCTCCCCCCAAGCATTTTTGCGCAATCGTTTTCGGACATCCGCGCACGCGCTCCGTCGCATGGACCGTGGTGACGACGTTTCCGATGCGATGGTTTTTGACGTGCGGTAAGAGAATCGGTTGAAAGCAAGAAAAATTCAAACCGTCGCCGAGAATCGCGTAGAGTTTCCGTCGTTTTCCCGAGTCCCACGTGGTCTCGTACCGGTATTAACGGCGCGAGCATGGCTACTGTTGTAGCGTTATCGATATTTCAACCGGTCGGATCGTAAAACCTTTTCCAGAACGACGAACGAATTAAATTGAAATACAGCGTAACACACGTTTATTCCATAAAATGACATTTAACAAGCCAATTGAAAAGTCCCCGGTCTACCATAGTAAAACACATTTTTTTGGCAAAATTTGATTTTATTATTCAACATAATTGCCTTCGAGAGCGATACAGCGATTATAGCGAACTTCCAACTTTTCGATACCATTTTTGTAGTACGATTTGTCTTTTGCTTCAAAATAGGCCTCAGTTTCGGCGATTACTTCTTCATTGGTGCTAAATTTCTTTCCAGTAAGCGTTCTTTTGAGGTCTGAGAATAGGAAAAAGTCGCTGGGAGCCAGATCTGGCGAATACGGTGGATGCGGAAGCAATTCGAAGCCCAATTCATGCAATTTTTCCATTGTTTTCATTGATTTGTGACACGGTGCATTGTCTTGATAAAACAGCACTTTTTTCTTCTTAAAATGGAGCCGTTTTTTAACGATTTCATCCTTTATACGATTCAACAATGTTATATAATAATCGTTGTTGACGGTCTGGCCATTTTGGAGGTATTCAATGAATATTATACATTGTGCATCTCAGAATATTGATGCCATAACCTTGGCAGCTGACTGTTGTGTATTTCCTCGCTTTGGATTCGGTTCATCGTGTGCAGTACACTCAGCTGACTGTCGATTGGACTCCGAAGTGAAATGATGGAGCCATGTTTCATCCATTGTTTCATATCGACGCGAAAATTCAGGTTTATTGCGCTTGAATAGCTTCAAACACTGCTCAGAATCATTAACAAGTTGATGCTTTTGATCGATTGTGAGCTCGCGCTGCACCCATTTTGTACGTAGCTTTTTCTTGTAAAAATATTCGTGAATGATATGATGTACACGTTCAGATGATATCTTCACAATGTCTGCTATTTCGATCAACTTCACTTTACGGTCATTCAACATTATTTTGTGAACTTTTTTGATGTTTTCGTCGATGACAGCCTCTTTTGGGCGTCCACTGCATTCGCCGTCTTTGGTGCTCATTTCACCACGTTTAAACGTAGCATACTAATCAATAATGGTTGATTTTCCTAGTGCAGACACCGGAAACTCTTCATCAAGCCAAGATTTTGCTTTAATTGTATTTTTTCCCTTCAAAAAGCAATATTTTATCAGCACACTAAATTATTTTTTTTCATCTTGTAAAACATATATAGACATAAAATAGAAGGGCTTTCCATGTCCTTTAGAGTCCGTCTGTCCGCCCGTTACATGAAGCTAGAGTTTTATTCTGATTTCAATGAAATTGCCGTAGGTAAGTGTACCTCCGAAACATTCAAAAAGAGAAAAAAGCCACTGTGTACTTTTCATCACGAAATTTAACCTCAATAGGGTTGATATTCGATAATTTTTTTTTTCGATTTCCGGGTTATTACTACGACATCAAAGAAAGAAAATAAAGAGAGGTTATTGTATACCAAATTTGGTCACCACGGTCAAAAAAAAGAGCATTTTTAGAACATAAATAACCGGGCAACAACGATTAAACGCGATGGTAACACGGGTGAAAACGAGGAGACACGTTAAACAGACATGATTTCAATTATTTGAACAACTTTATGAACTTTTTGTTTGGATGTACCTGGGAAATACCAGATCTTTCGGCTTAATAAACGATAATAGTGTTATGTCGATCATCCTGTACACGATATAATAAAATGTACTTACCGAACGTTGGCTAGCGTGTGTCTGCGGTTCCGGAGGAACTTGTGATACTTCTGTAGGTCGCCGATGCTGCCCTGTTCCGCTTGCATCTTGGCGATAGCGGCTGCTGCGGCCGCTTGGTTAGTCAATAAGACGGCGAAGCTACCGCGTTCAGTAGCTCCACCACTGCCGCACGTATCCGAGCTGGTAGTGCTCGTAACGCTCTTGGTGCGCAGGTTTTTCTTGCGCTTGCGTTCGGCGGCCGACGACGATGTGGCCACCGCCGCTGTGACGGCGGGCGCGGCCGCCTTTGCCCAGGACGCTGTGGCCGCCGGTTGACCAGACGAGAATGTCGGTGACGGGCTGTTGGCCGTCTTCCGGACGGTTAGCGAACAAGAACTGCCGGACAGTGGACAGTCGTCGTCACCCAACGTCGTTGTCAATTGATCGTCGTCCTCTTCCTCTTCGATGTCGTGTAATTGCTGTTGCTGCTGCTTGGTGGACGCGTCCGACGGCCGGCCCGGCGATGTGACTGACGCAGACGAGGACTGTGACGATTGCTGCTGTTGCTGCAGCTGTTCTTCGCCGACGAGGGTCTGCGGTAGTGGTTGCAGTGCTGGATTCCGGTCTGCGGTCGCGGTGCTCAGGGGCGGTTGGTGTGACGATAACAATTGGCATCCGGTCGGCAGCGACTCAGACGGTCGCCGAAGTTGTTGCTGCTCTACTTGTCCGGGAGCGGCTATCGTCGACGATGAGGAAGATGACACTATTGCAGTAGTCCTACCGCAAATCTGTTGCAAAGAGACGCACTCGGACTTTCGATACTGTTCTGGAAGACAGTCGTCAATGGCATCCGATGCTGCAGCTGTTGCTGCTGCTGCTGCTGCGGTCTCTGCCGCGGCGTCCGCAGCGGCCCGGCGGCGGTGGCGAAGGCGACGGCGACGGCAGCTCCGGCAGCAGCAGCACCACCAGCTGCACTTGCTCGACGCGCCCCCCACGCCGCCGGCTGCTCGACCACACTCGCCGTTATATTAGGGGACAGCGCGGCCAGAAAAACGGCCGACGCGACGACAACGTCCACACCACTTGGCCTGTTTTGGCCCTATAACAATAATATGTTCACGGCCAACACCGCCGACCGCGCCCTCGTGGACTGCCTCTGCGCTCGTCCGCCGCAGCCGCGGTTCATAATATTTTCACTTCACTAGGTCATAATGTTTTGCGTCCGGCGCGTCTCAGTGATGGCAGCGGCGAACTGTAAACGACACGCGGGCGACACAAAAAGAAAAAAAATATACATATATTTTTGTACAAACTACGATGATATGTGACGTTAAAACTGCGGTTATTGACAGGTAAGGACCGCTATACCTAACCTAACCGCCCGCCCACTAACCCACCATAGGGAACCGCAGTCCCATAACAGCAGCAGGTTCGGATCTTCAAGTACTCAATTTCGGGGGCTGCGTATACGAATTCAATAGTTACCATAAATACGATTAACGAGAAAAATGTTCTCTTACAAAAAATAATAACGTGTACACCTATACAGTGAGTGTGCCTGTAAATCAATTTCAAAATATCTAGATAAAAACATGAGATAAATCGCTAGGATAATTATCTAGATGAAGATAAATAATCCGGGTAATCCGAGTAATCTAGTTTTTGAAAAGGCTATGTGCAATTGATGAACTTTAATAATTAATTTATAAAACAATGCATTTGTATGAATTAAGTGTTTTGTCTATTACTTCTAGTGATATTTTTCTAGATCAATTTGTCTAGACGATGTAATTATTTTGTTTCTATTAATGGATCAGATAACTTGCAACTATGTATCTGTATAAAATAGTATATACAAATATTTCTACCGATCTAGATCATTTTACTAATAATGTGGCTTCAAGACTCATCCAAATAGTTTTTTGATGTAGCAATATTTTTGAAGAGTTGTAATCGGTTGGATTTTGTTGGGCTATTAAAGTTTCAATAGATAAATGGCAATTTTAAAGGCCAAGTATTAAGACGTTTGCCGTTTATTACATAAAATCCTCAACGAAACGAGTCAACACGTTAAAGACCGATTTTATTACATCAAATATTTTGGACATTTCAACGGTTTTATATCTATCCAATAATAATGCAATCATTTCGTTATTGAAACAATCGTAATCATATAATACGTTCAGATTAATATTGTTTTATTAACTGTTGCAGAGGTAACTCTTCATTTATAGTAACGGAGTTTCATTTTGGATCCACTTGCTTGTTGAAACTGTTTTTTTTTTTTTAATTTTTCAATCAGTTTCAAAAAAACGTAAAATAAAAAAAGACAAATATATTTCAAGCTATGCGATCTACTGATCTCAAAAGTCCTATCAATACACACTTAATTTTGATATTGTGCATATTATAATTATCTGTCCATAATAGCCATATGGAACAAAAATGCGTGTCGACAAAAAAAAATCGGTTGTAAAACATAAAAATTTTTAACAACAACATTTTTAAAAAAAAAACATATAACAAATAACATTTTTTCCCTATGAAAACTATATGGTTTAAATACAATTTAGCGAGCACTCCGTAATAGTTTCAAGGGCAAATTATTCGTTTCTTGTATACCGTACAGACAGTATATAGTCTGTTTTATAAAAAATAATATATCATTTAGAAATCACATTGGTAAAAATGTCCCCCTTCTCCCTAGTTTTTCACGGACCGCTAATCAGTGTCTTTTTGTAAACAGGCAATCTGACGGTACACTGCACTGGTATAGTGTGCGTGCAAAAACTCATTTGTTTTTTTTTTTAGCCGGAACAATATTGTTCGTTAGAACATTATACAGAATGATTCGCTTAATATTATCATGAGCGATTTTTAGAAAAATAATATTCTCATTTTTTATCCGCAGTTGAAAAAATGCAACCGGTTGCTATAACATAATATTTGAAATCAAAAGTCGATATTGTTATTAAAAATGGATTGGAGTAAAATGTCAAAAGGACCATCGTAAACAAGCAAAGAGATGATTTTAATGAGTAACACCATAGATCAGATTTTATCATTTTTCAGATTATTTACAATGATTCCATAAAGAACATTTTTCGCTACGTTTATTGGCGGCACTATCAAATAATATTACAGTGTTCTATAACGATACATTTTAAAATATCTAGATAAAGATAAATGATAGTTGTTAGAGTAATAAATTATCCGGATGAAAATATAAAATATACATATTAGAATATAATTGACTAGATAAATGTTTTTTTTACATTGAAGAAGTATTTAATATTAATAGTGATTTAGTTAAAAGTATAGCATTTCAAATGTTACTTATTATAAATAATCAACGTGTGCACATTAAACACCTATGCCATTCTTTTTAATAATTATTTAAATAAATAACCATTTAAAATCATTAAATACTAAATTTACCTAGGATAAATCATATGCCACTGACCCGTGTTGAAACGCATCAACAAATTTAAATGTATCCACACCGTTTTCAGAATAAGAACGCAACGTGCTCGCGCATCCTAACGATCGCCGGAGAAACTCTCGGACTCCTTGGCCGCAGCCACGCCATCGGCAACGGTCAGTCGAGGGAAAATACGCACGCACCCGGACCGATTTTAGTCCGCGTTTTTATTTGGTAAAACCGTATAGATAAATAATATGTACCTAATACATCGATTTAGATAAAGAGGAAAGATAAATAATTTTAGTTCGATTATTATTGAACTAAAATTCTTTAGATAATAATAGGTAGGTAATAGATCAACGATAACCGTCATTTTGTCCGTATTAACAAAAAAAAAAACAGACACATTTTCAGTTACAATGTATGAATCCGCTAAACAACTAATGTGTAATAATTATGTTTGTTATGAAGTTAAAACTTATGTTGCTAAATCATTCATATAGTGATTGTTTTTTTTTTAAAAAAAACGCATATTTATCTGGATAAGTGACATTATTATCTATGAGAAATATTCAGAGTTAAGATTACTCTGGTGTATTGATATAGATAAGATAAAATTAAATAAATAACTAGATAAGTCTCAACAGTGTCATTGACGGGTACCCGGTTAAATACGATAACATGGTGTCCGATGTACAGTCTCGTAAAATTAACTACGGATATTTTTTGCGTGCGTGCGTGTGAATATTAAAAAAATTAAAAAAAAAAATCCGTGTGGGTTTGGAGATTCGATTAATCTCGTCGTATTTCCCCGCCGTCCGAGTGAGAGTATACCTAAATACATTTACTTCCCTCTCCGTTTTTTTTTTTTAATTTTTCAACCGAATAAAACCGAAAACGACTCTCGACGTTTAAATATAAATAATAATATTGCGCGCAGTCTATACCTAATAATATTATCCGGACGTTCGGCGTGTTTCGTGGGGGGACAGGGGAAATATTAAAAATCGACGGGCGAATTAATATTATACAGGGGGCTTCTGTGAGATTTGACAATGTCCTACATGCGCGATTAAATCGTTCAAGGAAATCGTAGAATCCCGCGGACACAACCCTGTAGATATTATATGATTTTAAATCGGTCGAATAATATTTCGGCGTTCGGGCATTTTGGAAATGTATTAATTTATTAATATTCTGTCGTGTACACACCTACCCGCAGCCACCTACCTACCTACCTACCTACCTATCACGCGGAAACCGACCCCCTCCCTTCCCCCGGAATGAAAAATTATTATTAATCGTTCCGATTCGAATATTCTACATCGTGATAATATATTTTGTTATTAAATTATTATACACGTGCGTCCAATTACGTTTATTGCGGAAATTAATTTTCGTTTTAAATATAGGAATTCTTCCAGAGACAATCGGCGACGGCAGCGGGCTGCGCAATATTTCGGTTTGCGGCGAAAAACAATTTTTTCAATATTATAATGTTGTTGCGAATCTCGACGGGCGTAATCCAATAATTGAACGTAGCTGTTTTTCGTCTGAGACAACTGTAATATATACTAATATAAGTAAGTGGATACGGCAATGTCACTGCGGCGGTGGTGGCAGTACAGTTTTGTTGTCCGTTGTTGCAGTTTATTACATTATTAGACGGAAATGATAAATTAAAAAAGAAATGATAAAAAGGGAGAGAGAGAGAGAAAGAGATAGTGGATATTGCCTGCTGATGGGCGTGCCGTTGTTGTAAGCGGGAAGTTGGGAAGGTAGGATATTCAAAAAGTAGATTAACTTATATCTGTACGCAACGACATTAAATCATCATTGGGCAACTTAAAACAATTCTGTGCGAAATGTGGTTGAACATAATAACACTTTATGAAATTCCGCTACATATCTTTAGGATTTTCGTTAAGATGTTTAATTTTGAACAATAGCAAAAAAACTACCACATCATGAATCGTAATAGTTCTGTTATTCTACTATTAAATATGGCATAATATAATGAATCTCGTGTTAAATGTTCAAGTATTTTCGGCTAAAACGATTTTATCCGCGTAAACCGAATAAATAAAAACAAAATTAGAAAATTTCAAATCAGTATGAACAGCTCAAAAATAGTCTGAATCTTTTCAAAATTTTACCACGTCTATAAAAGGATAAACAGAAAAAAAAATTGGTACTTATGTAAATTATTATGAAAACTATAAGGATATAATTGATAATAAAATTATCAAATTGAGATGTATTTAGACAAAAATAAGATATTTTGATATTATTAAAAAAAAAAAATAAAAAAAAAACATGCAATTATCTTGAAGATCGAAATAAAATTTCTGGTGGAAAAGTTAATTTTATAGACCAAAAAAAAAAATTACGCTCCTTGTTAAAGTACATAGAGAATACACATGGTTAGTGTGACGTCATATTTATTATGACACAGAGGCATGCTTAGGATTTTTTTTTTGGAGGGGGCTAAATTATTTTCAAATATTGGTATTGATTTTAAAATATGGACATGAATCCGAAAGCCGAAACAGGCAATATTGAGAATATTTTTAAAAATATAAATATAGTTTGAAACGGAGTTTCATTACACAAGTTTAACGCATTGATTGCATTATGTGTTAATGAAATGTTTTGGGCATTGGAATTTTTGGTACCATAAATCAAACTCGGCTACTGCAGCATGAACATATTTTGTGGTATATCATTTTTATAAAATTCTAAAAGTTTTAAATACTGGATTCTTCCATTTGATTAGGTGAATTTCCAATTAGTAGTAGTTAAAATTTAATAGCACATTTGTGCTTTAAAAATCGTTCGGATATATTGTTTATAAAAGAATCTAGCCATGGAATGAAAATGGCACGTCTATGATATTCTTCTTCATTTTCTGCAGGTACATTGCATCGTTTGGTTTGCGACGTCGCGACGATAAGGCTTGACGCACACGTCCGTTTTTCGCCACCAATAATAGAGAGCAGAGGTCTTTCTTAAGCCCGATAGCCTTCTCCCCTTGGGTGTGCCCATGTTATGACATATTATAAGATAACAATACCTATCAAGTATGATTGGATAAAAAATGTACTTATGAATGTGATTTAAAATAAAAATAAGAAATTGTCATACATTATTCTATACTTTGAATATTTGTTTTATTGGTGAAAATCGTATTTGAGTAAATCTTATTCAGTACTAGTCAAATCTTGATTTGTAATTATTCACAATTAAATACAAAACAAGCGTATAAATACTGCGCGCATTTTAAAATGGTCCATTAAATTGTTTTGATCCAAATGATTCGATAACTACTGATAAAAGATCAAGAAGATGACGTAGGCACGCTTATCATGCGTATGAATTCCTTGCAGAATCAAAAACACATCACAGTACGAACGGCTAATGCGCAGTAGGTATTCAAATTGATAACAATAGTCATTATTATTATTATGATTATTTTTCCCGAGACTGTTATCGAAATGACGTGTGTTTCGGATGGTGATTTCGGCTGCTCGTTGACGGAGCCCCGGTGCTTTATCATATAACATGTTATTACGACGACGGAGCGAGCGAACCTGTCAATGTGGGCCTGAGTTGTGTACGTGTTATTTATGCACATAAGATGTCTGCGACGCTTCCGTACGTGCTTGGAAAAGTCTCTCGGGGTCCTGCTGATAACAATATAATATATAATGTATTATTATACCGCGGCGTTTGTGAAAAGGGAATAGGGAAAAAAAAATCCCTCTGAACGAGACTATATTTGAATTTGGTCGTCTATACGTGTTTTCGGCGTGCCCCGTCGCGAATAAGTGATTCGGGTGTTGAGGCGAATTTCCCCGGCGACGTCTCCTTCGGGAAAAACGAATAACGTGCCCTAGGGCGGGGAAAAAAATAATAAATAATAATCATAGCAGTAGAACCGATAATATCTGGTAGTAATATTTGTTCAATAAATTAAAACGGTTCCTTTGTGTTTCAACGCAAGGAAACGAACGTGAAACGTTTCTTTCTTGAAATGCTGTTTTTCAAAATATTTCGTAGGTTTATGGTCTTCACGATCATAATGCGTTCCGTTGCCATTTTTTATCCTGGCTCTTTAAATTAATAATAATTGATAATAATGTGTGAAAAAAACGTCATCTCTAACGTAAAAAATGTATATAATTATTATTTTTTTAACATGTTAAAATGATTATAATAATAACGTTGTTTCATTATTGTTTTGCAATTTATAACTCATTATGTTTTTAAAATGACATGTTTTAAACCATTCGCATATTATTATATTGTCTGGTTTATATTGATTACAATATTATGATAAGTAGTTTAGTGCAACAATCAGATATCTCAAACTGTAATTCCATAAACCCAAAGTTAGGTTTCAAATTACACGTTTTTATTAATTTTTACTATACAAGTATGAGTTATTGTTGAAAATTAGTTTTAATCTTTCTTGAACATATACGTGATTTGGAAGTCATCCACCAATTTAACTGCAACGATCGGGGTTACGTCCGGAACCGATGCGAAATCGGACGGAAAACTATTACGAAAACGATTGAAACTTTGACGATTTCGGAGGTGGTGCAGTGTGAATACAATCTGCACGTGACTTCAACATGTTATGATGATATTTTCACGTACCTGCATGACAATCTATAATGCATGCAGTGTGTGTGAAAATTTGTCGACCGTATGACCGGTGGGACAGGGATAACGGGATATTATAATACATAGGTACGCGAATGTTTGAGCGGTTCGTTCGTTAATTCTCCCGCCTCTCTTTCCATCGTAAAATCTTAATAGTCCTGCGGGATAACGGTGAGAGATTCGACGAAATCTCGCCGTGGAGCGCGCGAACGTCGTCGGACCGCGGCTCGGCCTCTCCGGGGTCCGATAAAAATAAACGCGTGAGCCGCCAAAATGACGTGTCCCGACGATTTACGGGCGACTTCAGCGCGTTTATCGTGACGTTTTCAGTTTTTTTTTTTGTATATTTTCTGATGCGTGAACACCGTTTTGTCGCAGCATAATTTATAATAAAATATGTAGCATCATATAAGACCGAAAATACGCCGTCATTGTCGACGCACGTCATTGCCCGAGTATAGTTTCGCACAATATTATTACTATAATGTTATAGCAGTGCGCGCCACTGACGACGACGGTTAAGTAATACGGTCTTTCTCGAAGGTAGTTTCGGATCCGACGGGGGGGGGGGGGAAATCACGTTTTGGAACGACGCCAGCTCACACGCGATAGTATTATTATATAGAGGTGTATAGAAATCCTTTGCGCGCCAAGAAAAAGGATTTCGTAATTAATATTATGAAATTAAATAGGCCGCGACTCGCGGTACCCTTTTAATTGGTATTATAGTGGTGGTAACGATGTGATGTGTGCTATAGAATGGCAAGCAAAAAAAAAAAAGGTGTACTTACGCGGCCGCCGCCCGGTAAGTCGTAGCGCTCGGTCACTCGCGAGTTAATGGAAATCCGGTGGACTCCTATCCGAGGACCAGTAGCGTGCACAAAAAAGATCATATCGCTCCCCCTTAGGCTTTTTAACACAGTAACTATTAGTATTTATTTAGTAATTTAATTTTAAGGTGTATTTATTTTAGCCAAGGGTCAAAGAAAAGCTTAATTTATTGATAAAAAATTGGCTGTTTTTTATCCGGCTTTTAATTTCCTGAGTTCAGTATAAAGATAATAATTATATGATTTATTTATAGTTAGTATTCGCAATGTCCACTCACATAGCCGTAAACCTGTATAATATAATATGCCACATAGGTAAGCAATCTACAGTTAATATAATAAGGATATATTTCAACTTCAAAACATTGTTCATAAGTCTGTTCAATACCGTGTAGTATAGGATAGTTCTTGATGGTATTTAATCATTATATAAACAGATATTATTTATATAGGTACAGTATCAAAATAAAATTTGACAGAACGCATTCATGTACTTATATAAAATTATAAATATCGTTTGGTTCCCTACACGTACTTTTGTAGATTTTTCCTAACCTTGGAGGGTTAGTAATGATTTAAGGAATAAACAAAAAACCATTAACAACATATAACTAAACACTACTGGGCGTTTTCGAAGGAGATTATTTGTGCCCAGACGGTCACACAGTTAATTCTGTTTGGCATCCAGTTAAGTAGAATTTCGCTTACTTACTGTATGTCCGCTAGAAAATAAACCGGTAAATTATTGAACTAGTCGATTTTTTAACGAAATATTGTCAAGGGGTGGGACAATTTGGGAAAATCCGTTAGTCGAAGATAGTGTTTGGTCAATTTGAACACGTTGTGAATATTCGCTGAACTACTATTTTAAAATATATTATAGAGAAATTTAGATACAAAACAAAGAAATAAATTGTATATATATTTTAGTTGTAAAGTATTAAATATAAATTTAAAAATTTTCACTTACACTAGATAATGTTATGTTTGACGTAATATATTTATAATAGGATTTCCACACACTGTTGTCTAGTTTTTGAAATGGGAGTCGGAAATATAACATGAATAGCACAGTGAAAATGAAATGTGGATTAATACAGCAAACGACGAAAATATAATTATTGATTATTATTTATTAAATGAAATGTGTTGTTACTGTAGCGAAGAAAAAAAAATACATAGATGCATCGATGGTAAGCAAGTCGATGTTTAACGATTTTTCATTTTTTACCATAGATATGAATAATATCACTGTTAATATTTATCAGTTGATTAATATATTTTCTATGTCGAAAAACACTGAATTGATGAAATGTTTTGTTATCATCATTATATTGCACGAATGACAACAACTTATTTCTATAACTCGTATAGTTCGTTGTGGCTATAGACAATAAATATACCATAATGTTATACTCATTATTATAGAAATTAATCCGCTAGCAGATTTTTAGGGCTGGCCAGCATCAAAACCACATGTAAGAAATAAGAAAATGAGTTAGCTATGCATTTTTTACGGAATTGTTGAAGGTGAATCTGATTCTTTAGTCAGTTTTATCTGGACCTAGGTATTTTTAATTTTATCGTCATACAGAATTTTCCATGCGTGTATACCAGATACCTAGATAATATTTTAACGCTCGATCGTCACCTAACCTATTCTCGATTTTTGTGTTTGTGCGTACATAGAAAACGAGCAGGCACCCGCACACAATAAACTCATTAACAGTAATAATACTATATAGGTATGTTATTATTAAGTATACTCTAGGAGTGGAAATCGTCGAAACGTACCGAGAGTTTGGAAAAAAAAAACGATTTTCAAACGTATAAGTACAAAACAAACAAAATGCAAACTCGAGTGTTAACACTGCAGTTAACGACGCAGCCACTTTAAGAACCGACCAATTGATTTGTATAGATTTTCGAAACAAAGTATCGACAATAATAATTTAATTATTATTATTATTTGTCTACGTGGGTAATTATTCACACACGATTCATCGCGGTAAGTTTGCACGTGACTTTTCGAAACGCACACAATGCGCACACACGATTTGCATTCGTATGGCCGAACCCAAAACTATCGTCGACCGACGGCAGTGGCTTCTATAGAACAGTTTCCGACGTGTAAAAAATGACAATTTTCCGCTTTAATATGCTGACGACTCGCGTACTTATTACTATTACACAGCGTCCGACCGACATAATTTATAATCAGGTACCGAAATCTATATGTGTATTATGCGCGGTGAGCTACTACAATACTAATTATTGTCACCGTGTGCCGAGTGCCGCTTTATACGATAACATTTCAAACAAATCGCGTTCACTGGCGTTCGGTGTCCGTGATATTATAATATTCGCGTCGGTTTTGAGACCGAAAATCGATAATTAGCTTGCGAAACTGCGACTCGTTGATACAGAACAAGTGCGATTTATCAGATTCCTAGCGTGTACATAATATTATTTTGGACCTTAGCGGTGAAAATAACTTGGTCTTTGAGAACCGGTCGATTTCATTTAGTATGTGTAGGAGTGGCTGGGTGTTCAATATGCAAATAATTGAATATTAATAACCGTTCACTACTTGTTTAGTGAAAATAGGTGAAAACATCGATACATAATAGGGATAATTGGGAAATTTCGGTAGGTGAATACTGGGTAGCTTGTAGGTCGTTTCTGGGTTATATTAAGTTTGTTTGGCCACCGTTTATAAGCGAAGAACGTATATTGGTTTCGCTATTATGATAATACGTGTTGTGTAAAGATAAATTTCAAAATATCTAGATAAAGATAAGAGATAATTGTTCATAATGTTTATTTAGATAAACGTAAAACATGCATACAAATTTAATAATCTAAATAAAGAGGAATTATCAGGTAATTTTTATCTAGTTAAAAAAAGATAATTTTATTCATTGCCAATTGCGTAAAACTAAGTACTGAAAATACTTAAAGTATACCAGATTTAGCGCGCATCAGCATTTCATAAATTTAATATTATGTAATTGTTATAACTTCATTTATCCCACCACATGTTTAGTATATACTAAATGTTTTTTCCAATGATTTCCGATTAATATAAAAGTAACTGACAAATTTTGTCTTTGAACATCGCATTTTTAATCGTTCGCCAACGGGCAGCTAGCGAGCCAGCTCGACATAATTATTTGACATCTATCTACCTACACGACGTGTATTATTATTATTGTTATTATAATAATGATGACGACTATGTAATACGAGTTTTTTTCATCTTCAAAAGACTAAAAAGTATTATGGCTCTGACTGGCGTATACGAATCGCCGCTGGGATGTACGAGTCTCGCCGAGGCCGTAGGAGACATAATATTATTATGAAAAAAGTTTCGGTGATATTATATTATGTATGTATAGTACGACGACGATTATATTTTATTTTAATATAACATGATGATTCTCCTCAAGAAACGAAAACAATATAATTATAATATTGTAAAGTTGACTTTTTGATGAAAAAAAAAAAACACCCAGTTTTCTTTTCGACCTAGTTTTTCTTTTTTTTCTCTTTGAAAAATGCTATAGTCAACCATTGTTACGAGTTTTTTCGCTTTACCCGGCGATCAAAAGTTCATTAAAAATGAACGAAAACGAAAAAATAATATTTGTATATATTTATAATATATTATTGAAAACGTTAGGATAAGTGCGACGGGTTTTTCAAATTGAGTTATACAAGTACGCTCCACATATTGTTGCCAACTAGGTGTTACGACAAAAAAAAAAAATGCTTCGATGTAAAAATAAGACTATTATATTTTACAGAAGGTTCGTTGTCGATATGTGTTGTGTTTCGTGAAATAATAATCAAGAAAAAGGACGAGCATTTTGTCTAGGAAATTCTTTGTCGTATCAAACAAATGTTCAGATATCGTTTCATAAACTAAATTCCGAAATTCCGAAAAGTGTTAGTCCAATGTAGTTTAATGATCATTGTTTAAATTATCTATAGACAAAGACAATAGATACTATTACTATTGTAGAATAGGTTATCTAGACGATGACACATAATATACAAAACTGTTTAATTACCTAGATGTAAAATGATGATCATATGTTTATTTTCATAAAAAAAAAAGTTAATTTTTTGCATTATCTATCATAAAACTACAAACATGTGTATATCTAGATTTTAAAAAGATTGAAATACCTTGTAATTAGTTCATAAACCATCATAATATTGAATTCGTTTAAATTAAATAATTTACTTATTTTTTTACTTAAAACAATTTACCTTGATGCTCTAATTGTTTGTCTCGGATAACGGTTCAGATAAAGTATTTCCCATTTGCCTGATTATGATAAAACAACAAAAATATAAATTATCCAGATAATTTATCTAGATAAAACACAACACTTTACCTAATAACCCGTGTAGAAATTGAAAGGCTCAGATAATGAAAAAAACCATTTATCCGTGGGATATTTGCCTACTTTATGTCCAAACTTTAGTTAAACCACGTATATGCCAAGCCCATATGATTATTTTTCCGTATCTATCCGGACTTGCACAATTGTCGAATTAAATTATTTAGCATTTATTGATTTACTCGAAACTATCAACAAGTCATTTTGGACTTGCCTTACTGTACGACTGAGTCCTTCATATTGAAATTTAAATTTGATCGCTCTCATGCAGTGCATACTGTCGTCACATTTTTATAGTATCGGAATCCCTATAATAGAGGAATCTCTATTTCGCGGAAGAAGTTTAGAAACCGTGTGACTATTAATTTTTTTTTCCACGAAAAAATCGATTTTGATCAAGGTCGCGTGCATGTATATTGCGGTATTAAAATATATTATGTTAAACTGCAAAAGAGGCGATATTTTTTGTTTCGTTTTCCTGTCTCGCTCGAGTTCTGCGTAGGTACTGACGGCACCGTTGGATTTGGTTCGCGAAAAAAAAAAATACACGTATATATAGAATAGCCCTACCGCGGAGTTAAGTTTTAATTAAATTTTAAGCTCCCGCGCGTTTTTAACGGGGCAGATAACCGTACAGCTTGTATACGCGCACGCGCGCGTCATTTTGCCATATAGCCGCGTGTTTTGAAAAAAAAAAAAATCACCGGAGAAAAAACCGCGACGTCTACACGCATAGTAATATAATAATATTAGCCGGTAGCAGTGTATATATAGTCGCAGTCTCGTAAAACGACTTTTAATTATAATTACAAACAAACGCGTTCGCAGACGTCAAATCCTGAGCGAATTACATGGGCTCGGTAATCCCTTCGAACAAAATAATATTATGTTTAGACATATACAGTGTGCACGTGATATAGGTATACATAAATATAATATAATTTTATTCCTAGAGAGAGAGAAAGAGAGAGAGAAAAAGAGAGAGAGAGAGAATGACAGAGAATCGTGCATGCCAGAACACTCGGAGCATAGGATTAAGCTGGGGAAATGCGTGTGCCGCTGGAACTTCGCGCGAAAAGCAATAACGTTTTTAACGTATTACCTTTTTTCACTATACATGTTCTTCTTTTATACACACGGAAAGAGTTTTTCCTCAGTAGGTCAATGTTTAGAGTGTCCCGTGAAGATATACTTACCGTGATATTTCGAAAAAATATTAAATTTTTCGACATTTCATTTTTGATGGTTTAAGTAACAAGTAGATCTAAAATTTTATATTACAGTTATTTGAGGTCACTCATATTTTTGATTAGGGAAATGACTACCTTCTTTTGATTTCTGAACTATATTAAAAATTCTATAAATAATATACAAAGTTTTAATTTAAATACATTTTGGTGTTGAAACCGTATACCTAATACAATATAATTACTTCCATTATAACTATAGCTACATAATTCAGTAACCGAAAGAATACGTTTTTCTTATTCTCCTTTTCCTTAACCTTCATCCTAATTATAAAGGGTCAACTGCCCTTATCTTAAATTTCCATTTGATCAGATATCTCACCCCGGCTGTCCTTGTATCATTCTCAATCGACTCAATCGCATCGAAACATATATTTTTCGGTCTTTCTATTGTCCTATTTTCATATACATTAATTGTAACTACAATTCTCATCGCTATAGATTCTTTTCTTCGCATGACACGCTCAAACCGTTTAATCTATTTTCTCTTATTTTATCTACTATATCAGAGGCATACCTAAGCTATCTCATATGTACTAATTCCCTATCCTATCTTCTTTCATCACTCCACGCATCCACATAAGCATCCATTTACTCATCTCTGATAAATTAATTGTCTGTTCTATTTTTTTGTCTTTCATCCAACACTACTTTGGTAAAATTAAAATTTAAGAAAATTAGAATTCTCCTGTTACATAAAGCACCTGACATTTTTCTCCATTATATCCAATTACACAAATCTTCAAGTCTATTGTTAAATTTTTCCAGTTATTCTCCTATCACTTAAGACAGATAAAGATTACTGTTTTGTAATAATTTATTCCATGAATATATTATTTCTCAATATCGTATTATAAACTAGCAAATTTAGAAAAGTTATCAGAATTTTTCATTTAGTTACATAAAGTTATTTAAAAAAAAATTTTTTTTTTAAATTACCTATCTTAACCATAAACATATTTTTAATATTCTACTTATGAAATTGAAAATTATTAGCCATATAGGACTCAGTGGGTATCCAATATGCCATATACTCGTTATGTGGTTATGTGATATTCGCATATCCTGTATAAAATTAAAATACGTAAATTTTACAATAATAAATACGTAAATATAATTTATACATAATACAAAAGAACTAATACTGACGAAGGTGAGGCCATTGTTTTAGATGGGTAGTTGGGAAGGTGGGACATGAAAAATGATACAATTTTATCTTAAAACTCTTATGAAAATAAAAAAAATTACATTGTACTAATTTTTTTTTTTTTAATTACCAATTTTGACTTATGAACCTTCTGTCAAATTTTGAAACATTTCTGTTTAATCTAAGAGGTTTATCTATAGAGTACCTACTAAATAAAAATTTTATAAAAAAACTCGCAAAAAAAAAACGGCTTCAAACGGCCTAAAAACGAATCAAATATTTTTAAAATCTCTCCATGTCTAAAATAATAAGTAATTCGAAAAAAAAAATATATCATATTTTTCGACTCTTTGGTTTTTCCCATTTATAATGAAAACTTCTTTGGAAATTAAAAAAAAAATACTTTTTTTTGTTAATGGGTATTTATCAAGAGGAACAAAATCGATAACTTGTAATTTTTCGATTGCAGTAATATTTGTAGTAGAAAAAAACCACGAACAAAAATTAAAAACAACTAAAACAGTAACGCTGTTGTACACTCGAAATGTTTACCTATAATTTTCTTTTGGATTTGCCCTATCATTTTGAAAATCGAAAATTACTTCTCTTATGCACCCATTAAAAATTACCTTTCAGTAAGAGTTACACCGGAGCAAGATTTCTTTTCAATAAGTTGTTTACAGACAGAAAAAAAAACACATCTTAGTATAACCAATATATCCCTCACTAAGTTCCGAATCTAAAATCTAAGCACCAGGTTTTACGTTTTACCCAAGTTGAACCAAAATTATTTATTAAAGACATATTTTCTAATAATGTCGTTTAGTTATTCGATTTTGTATTATATGGATAACATATTATCGTCTTTGTAAGAATGCTTTGAAACTCGAGATTCATCAGATTTATTTGTCGATAAAAAAAAAAAATACGGCATTTCAAAACTTGTTTGACCGATCTTCACTGAGAATCTCTCTTGGCTCACAGATAAAGTGCAAATCGAACTCTACTATATATATCTTACCTAAAACAGTGGCCCGTCCATCGACGGTAGTAGGCGTCTAGTCTTTAAAAAAAAAAAAATTCTTTCGATTTCTCGAAATTGCAGACATTCTGAACTCTTGTACTTAAAATGAAAAAAAAACACTTGTATAAAAATCCGTAGTTATGCAATCATAACGTAATATAATTTTGCTCGATTCCTCCGGCTCAAAGTTTATTCGGGCTGACGCGATGGCGTGGAATTAGCTGTTAAAACGTCATTAAAACGATATTACAGTCGAGCGGAAAGTTTTTCTGGATACGTGTTTTCTGCGGACGACGAAGACGTTAAAATATAACAAAATGCTCGTTTTGGTGCAAAGAACGTCACTGTGACGCGATCGACACGGAAAGTCAAACGAAACACGTCGAATCGACAATTTTTATCGCATTCGCTAGAAAAAGTTTGTCGCTACAAGTGTTGTGTAATTTTGTCGAGATAAATTCGTGTAGATCAAATATCTAAAAAGGTATATTTTTTATCTTTTTTATCTAGATAATTGAGAAATAAGTTATCTGAGCTGTTATGTAAAATGAATAATTGAACAATCTAGTTAAATCGTTATTTTAATACAGGCAGTAACACGAATATTAAGTACATTAAATAACTTTTTTTTGTAATAAAAACTAAAACCTTGTGCTGTGATTCCTTTATTGAAATAAAAGTTATATATGAAAAATAATTGTAATAGTTGTAAACATCGAACAATTTTAGAAACTACGGTTTTTGCATTTTTAAACATTATTAACAGAAGTTTACAGAAAAAGAGCCAATGGAAGAACAACATATTTATCAAAAACTCGATATCAATGCATACCTCATAAGTAAATTAATCGATTGAACAGACCACGAGAAGTCGAAGAAAGCTCTAGTAGGAAAAATAAACGGGAAAAATCATAGGTATCTTAGTCATTATAGTCGTATGTAAAGGAATGTAGTGGGAACGACAACAAGTCTTTCAAGTACCATAAAAGCTTGAGAAGAAGAATAATTTGTGTTGGTGAAATTTTTTTTAAAAATATATTTGTAAAATAGATACCTTGGATTTTGTAAGTTAAAATTTTATTTAATTTAAAAAAAAAAACATAAAACAGAGAAGTCATAGCACAAGGCCAAACTAACTAATTAATATCTATCCAATCTTGGTTTTAGTACATTATTGAAAGATGTTCAGAACAATATTCTTGGCCGAAATAATATTAAATCTATAATATAGGAATATAAATAATTGTGTTGACAACGGAAATGGATAGCGGAGGAAAACAGTAGGTATCTCAACTTCAATAGAAAACGGCTACGGCCACCGCAATATTAATATTTATCATTCGACCGACCTGTGCTGATGTAATTAGTTTTGCAGACTTCACGAGACCCTTTTGAGTGTCGATAATAATTAGATTTAACGGCGTTTTCGTATTTTAATCCATCGTCGCCGTTCAACCCGATCTAAGCCTAACCAGTCGGTCGGCCGAGAAGTTTCTGCAATGCCTTTACTCCGACTGCTGTAATAATAATATTATACAAGGTCGAGTACGGGGGGAGGGGATTAAGACGGCCTTTTCAACGACCAACTGCCAAGGGCCACCTATCCCTGCACTGGCTTCGTAACTTCGGGGAAGTCACAAGGACCTGCAAAATATCAGTTACTGCAGTTTTCACCGCTGCCAAAGTTTTCGTATCCTCGGACGTCCCGCGGGACTACAATTTGGGTTGGATATCATCGGGTCGATGATCGAAAACAGTTATCTGTACATCATCCGATCAAACAGTATAATTATTGAATATTTGAGTTTGTTATTTTAATAGTTAATTGCATACAAATTTATTATAAATTATACAGATTATACCAAGAATATATACTATATACTGATTGCAATATCTCGAAAAGTATTAACTTTTTCAGAATTATTATTATTAATTTTTTTTGACAGTTCGAAGAAAAGTATTAAAGCAACAAAAAATCCAAATTTATTCAAACTAATATGCAATCTGTTTATACTATTTTTAATACATTTTTTCATTAGAAAGTCAAACTTAGATAATTTTTTCACCCGCAAACTTAAGGATGACAAAAACTAATGGTTAAGCAACATTTCAGAGCTTCTCATTTCTTAAACTGTAAAAAAAAAAAAAATCTCCAAAAAGTTAATACTCTTTGAAATATGGGAATGAGTATGATATAATGGGATACCTCAAATATGAAAAAAGAAAATTTGACCGATCACTTTAAATCGATCAACCATAATTATTATTATTGATCTTCATTACAACAATATAATGAGTCATTAATGACCTTCAAATAGTAGGTATATAAATATATTGACAAAAAAAAAAAAAAATATATTTTAATATATGCTTTTTTGTCACTTGTGATTTGCATGGGCACTGAATTGTGTAATATGTTAATTGTTTTTTTTTTTTTGAAGGAGAGGTGTATTTAAAAATGTAATTATTTTCAACCTTCCCCCTCTATGTGTGCACTTCATGTATAGGTAAACGTCACAGGCCCCATGAGGAAGCCGTTCTTACCCATTACCCCCAGGGGATTCAGTTTTGTAATCGATCAAAAAAGGTCTTTTTGTCTGTCTCTCTCTCGCATTTAAGCAACCAAACTCGATTCACCATATCGTCCCATGTCATCTTACGCAGCCTGTGATAATCGAGACGGAGAAGCCGTGACAATTCTCGAAGCGACGACATCGCCTCCATGTGTGGTAATCAGTGGTAATGGATACGTTTTGCTCAGGTGGGTGTATTTTATAATTACACGGCTCCTACAATTCATTTCACGTATTATGTACCCCAACTGTTGTGCGAGTTAAATCGTTATATTTATATCTGTAATATAAAAGCGTTTACGCGTACATTTCGACTAATTATTAAAATGCGGCTGCGCATACATTTTCATCATAATTGGCCGAGCCAATGGATGTACAGCGTAACATATTATTATAAAATATTATGGTATGATAATTATTTCGTATTACCGTTGTTTAAATCCTCAGCAAAGTGTTTCCATTACGTTTACATGTCCAAAAGGGGGATAATTTATACAAATTATTTTTTGTACAGGACAAATTTTAAAATAAATAGTTAAAGATCAGTTTTAATTGCTAGATTAATATTATTTAGAAGAAGGTAAAAGATACATAAAAATTTAATTATCTAGATAAAGATAAATAATCAGGAGTTCTAGATTAAAAAAAAAATTAATTAGATAATTCAGTTCATAATCTATCATTCACGAAACTGAATACTAAAAGTACTAGATTATTAGTAAATTATTTAGTTTTTTCATAAAGGTCACGTGGTTAATGGTAATAATTATCGTCAAACAATAAATAACAAATAAAATTAATAATTTTTTAAACTAAAATATTAATATGAATTGAATATTTTCTCTACTATTTATAATATCAAATTAATTAATTAATTACTATTTAAAAAGATTTATCTAGATGATTCAAATAATTATTTTAGATTTCAGCATATATAACTTATTTTTCATTTATCTAGATATCAGATACAAATAATATACCTATCTAGATTAATTAACCCAGAGAAAACACAGCACAGTTATTAAATACTTATTGGCTAGTATTTATCTACTATAGTGGAGGGAAAATCCAGATTTTCTGAAGATTAATAATCCTAATTTTGGGAATCCTGGATACATAAGTACATACCTATGTGTTCTACCTATGATATGTGTCTACCTATTAATAATAGTCAACTTTATTTCATATAGCTTACACGGCATGCTTTACTAATGCTAGGTAATAATGTAAATAATAGTTATAATAATAGTTATAGTTTTTTTGTCCGTGACATCAAAATTGTTATCCATGTCACCAAGGTCACTCACGAATAAAAGAAAATAAATAAAAAAAAACAATTAGATACGCATACCAAAATTACTTGAAAACCTAATTATTGCAATTTTCGTAGAGATCTCTAATTATTTTAAAAATAAAATACAGTCCATGTTAATCGCTGATAATGTAGATTTTATAAACCAAACAAAAATTTTAGAATCATATATGTAGTTTTTGGGCTTACCCACTACAAACATATAAACAAATATTTTCTCTTTACGATATTAAATAATTAATAATTAAAAATACTAATATTGAGTATACGTGATATATAATGTAGATATATAATTTTTCACGCGTGCAATGCATTCTATTGACATTTTATGGGCCCATTTGTAAATTGCCTATTGAAAAAAATGGGGTTTTTACTAGTAGGACAAAAAAAAACCTCTCACCTCTTACAAAAAAAGGAAAACACAGTGAAAAATCTAGAATAATTAGTATTTATTAAAGTGGTTTATTTTTTTTGCACGTGTTTTATGTTACAAGAAGATTCCAATGAGACTATAATGTAAATTATAAAATAGTATGGTGAGACCAAGTATGTTGTATCTTGTATGGGTTGAAGTGTTACGCAAAAGACAGAAAATTAGGGCAGATAATGAATTTATTGGAGATGGGAATACTTAAATTAATGAGTGGAGTGATAAAAGAAGATACGATTAAGAATAGGTACATAAGAAGAGAGACAAATTAGAAGTAGTAAGGATTGTAATGAAGTAGACATAGGAAGAAAGAGGGGAGAGGAAACCAAAAAAAAAATACGGTCAAATTCGATTGAGAATGATACCACGATGGCGAGTGTATGTGAGGAAAATGTAGAGGATCAGAGCAAGTAGAAGTAGAAGATAAGGGTGGCTGACCCCAAATGGTTGGAAAAAGGTGAAAGAGAGAAAAAGAAGGTCCATTATTTTCCAGTCAATATTCAGCTGTTATCCGTCTTGTATACTAGTTGTACTAATTCACCCATGATTTAGATATCAATGACGCAATTTGAATTACGCCAAGGTGGGAGACTTGTATTGGGGAATTGTTTATTATTGTATAACGTTTAATAAAAAGAAAAAAACCTGAACTAATTTATAGTTCAATCTATACACTAAAAACAGACGTACTAGGATAATTGAGATGGGTATAGTCACTGTTACAGGGTCAGCCATTTTGTGTAACTTTGGTAGAGGAGGTGGCGGTTGCTTGTTGCGATTCCAAAACTAAATTCCACTAAGTAGTTTGTAAAATAAAAAAATGAAGAAAAAGGCTCAATAAATTGATACGATAATTCGATAGTTTCAATTCACGCGCGGTACTATGAAATTATTGTTTCATGTCGAACCTACCATACTTGTATAACACGGTATTGTGTTTGTGCGTGGTTGGGGTTTCCACATGGAAATTAAATTCGATTCAGTATACACTGTTAATATATTATAATACGGTTCGGAGTGATGATGAATAATTATTATTATGTTTATATTTCGTCTTTGATGTTAATGTAATACTGCAGACGTTAATCGAGAACGTTTGGAAATGGGAGCTGAATATCCCGCAATTTCGGTATACGAGTGTTGTACATCATACAAAATTAGTACGCGACGATGGTTTTGTGTATTATAATAAACATAATATTATTATTATAACGAAAAATAACGTTCGGAGTTTTTGTTTTTTTTTTAGATCTCGAAGAGGTCGAGAAATTTATTTTAGTTTTACTATATGACGTGTGCATCTCTCTCTCTCCCAATCTGTTAACCCTATTTCGATTCTAAGAAAATCTATGGTAGACTTTAATTAAAATTATAATAATTTATTATAAAAAAATGTTGAAACTGAATACGGCAGGCTTATATTTCCCAGGTAATTGGGACAATGAATATGCAGGATAATGTAGCCTATATTATAATAACTAACGTCAAATCATTGCCAACAAAAAATCGATTCTGAATGGAGTAGTGTTAGTCGTGTTTTTCCTTGTCACCAAATTAATCCAGAAATCAATAAATATCAAACATTAAAAAAGACCTGAAAAAATGTTAATAAATAGATACTTCAAATGTTATATCACTGAACAAATGGCCAACATATTTTGAAGCATAACATAAACTAAATCTGAGCATTTTTTATGACCGAAAATGTATTTTTGTATTTTCCGAGAAAAAAATTGTTTTGTTAAACTAATAGTTAGTGGCATCATATAAGTTTTTCGATAGGAATGAAAACACATTTGAATCAACCTAATTTTTTCTTATACCAGGCCCCAAACATTTATAAATTCTGTTAAAACAGAACAAAATCGGAATAAACAACTAAACGTCACCGAACGCCGCAATTTCTTCGTCGCAAAACTTTTCCTATAATAACTGGGAACCTGAAAAATGGGAAAATCTTCTCGTCGTTGTTTTGTTAGTATATATTCTATTTCTACCGAACGTTTTAGGTGATGTATGATTTAATTTATAAAATATTTCGGCATTTTACGATTCACATCAGCTGTTTGACATTTTCGAGTTATTTTGAATTTTTTTTTTGATTTATATTTTATTAAAACAGTTTCGTTCCGCTATTCACACTACACTATAAGACTAGACTCGTACCTCTATAACTGTTATAAAGGATATAATATAATATTTTTTTTTTACCTGCAGTATTCAAGCCATTTACTAGATATCATCGACAAAAAAAAAAGACAAAATATATAAAATAAAAAACTCTCGACCATAGTCTTTTTCTCTATTTGTGTGTGTGGTTCAATCTTTACATGGTTAGAAAATACGATTTGAAGCTCAACTTTGTCCGCAGGTTATGTTTTCAATACACTATTTCGTTTACCAACTATATAATATTGCTAGTCTACGAGAAAGAAGTCTAAGAAAGGTTTATGGCAGCAAATATAGTAGACCGAAATGAAAAAAATAAGATCTGTAATTTAAAAACAAACAGATGAACGGAAAATATGTTCAGCCGGTCGGAAACCCATTTTTTATTTACAAATATAAGTATAAAGGATGTTCTACCGTATTAAACGGATTTTTTTAGCTCTTGAATAACAACATTCAATTTTTTTTAAATTTTTCCTTCAATCTGCTTATTTTTGAAGGGGAAATTTAATTGTTTATTTCCATCGACTAATTATTTCTAAAACAAAATTAAATTAAAGCAAATGTTACTAAAAAACTATAGATCAAACATGAATGTATGATACATTGCTGTATTAAGAATAATATTTTTAACAAAATAGCTGTTTTTAAAATTGTGTAAAGTAAGTAAATAAAAATTAATTTGTTTTAATGATAAATTGTAATTTTTCTCCAAATAGATGCCCCCCACAAAGAATAGCAGATTGAAAAATAAAAAATAAAAAAATATTGTACATTAAAGCTCTTAAAAAGTTGAACAAGGTGTAACACTATGTATATATATATATATAATATAAACTTATATTTGTATTTTTTAGATATTTTTTTGTTTTGCATTCGATTCACTATATCGAAAGAGCGGAGTCAAGGCTCGACCGCATGGAACGAGACAAGTGTGCTCGTAAAAATCGGATTTCACAACCATCGTGGAATAATGAAATGCTGCGAGGTAAAATAGGAATCCAGAGCATTTACATTATAAATCGCGTTGTATTTAATATTATTTTATTTACCTCATCGAGAAAACAAATTTCATTAAATTGACGACGGTCATTTGCAAACGGGATTTTTATGGGGGAAAAAAAATCGCTATGCTCCAAATCTAAATACGTAATACAAATTGAATACTTTAAGTTGAAAATGTTTAATATTCCTGGGGGAAAACGGATAACGATGTTAACTGAAGTTTGTATTTCCATAGATGTATACAAAATCTAAGAACAAAAATAAAAAAAAATTATGGAGATATAAAATTGGTAAAGTGTGTTGTAATATTTTTCTAATTTGTTTAGTTTTTATTCGTGGATAAAAGTGTTTTATTATGATAAAATCCTGAATAACATTAAATTAATGCGGTATTGCAATTTAACGTGCCGATTACAAGATATTTGTCGTATTTTTCTGTTGATAAAGGTGGTACACTCGTATAGTAATTTTTCGGTTCAAATCATCGTATTGAATAATTTTATAATGATAAAAGACGACATCGTTATTTGAGTAAAATATTAAACCGTTATACAAGTGCGAAAAGATAAATGAAAATAATTAACTCGATTAAGTTAAGTTAAATATATAAATTCCTTCGGTTAAAAATTACACGAATAAATTAAATAAGTTGAAATGTAAAAAAAAGAGCTGATACCTGGGACAAATGTCACCACTGTTATAGATGGGCAATGGAGAAGGTAAGATACATAAAGTTATTTAATTTATACCTGTGATCAGCGATAAACCAATGATAACGGAAAACGATTAGGAGTGAAGTTCGGATGTACACAAGCACAGAGCAAAGATTTAGGGTGCCCAACATTTTTTTTTTACAAAACAAATACAATAAATTACAATATAATAAACTACATTATCATACATCTGTGATTGGAATATAGTAATATCAAATTTATAAAATTATAAAAGATATTAGATAAATAATACGTCTGAGAAGGACGTGGGCCCCTAGCCCCCCCTTGTATCCGTCCCTGGTTATATATATTTAAAAAGGACGTAATATTTATGATTTCCTTCAAAATTTAAATTTTAAAATTCTTATATAAAAAAAAATTCATATTAAACTAATTTTTTTTTTGGCCATCAACGACGACTTATAATGATAATAAAGCAATTAAATTTTCAAACAATTCTTTTAAATCTAATAATTTATCTACACAGGACCTACCAAATAAAAATTGCGTAAAACTCGCAATATTAAAATATCTATAGATAACTTAAATAAATTAAACGTTTTAACCACATCTAAAAAATATGAATTTTCTGTCAAAATTTCGTGTATCTACGAATATTTTAACATGAATTATAACGAAAAAACAAAAATGAAAATAATAAAAGCATTATTTTCGTAAAATGTTTTCGTTATTTCTACGTTTTGTTCATGATTATGTTTAACTATCAATAAAACTACTAATAAAATCGAAAAACGTCTAACTAACTCATAAACCAGATAAAAAGTTCAACAGAAAAGGTCTCTTTTCGTTTATCTATTAGAGCAATATTTATGGTAGAAAACTTAAGTATAGGATATATATACGAGGTGTGGCTATTAAATAACGAGACTGATCGCCTAGAGGGCACCCTAGATGGATAGTGAAAAAAACGAGTAATGCATTGGATATCTAGATATCTTATCTATGCACATACCAAAACACGTTTTGGTACGTCACTGTTATAGTATTTGTGCAGTAGTGGTTTGAAACGAACGTGTTTTTTTCTCGTGCCGAAAACCGTGTGTGACGAAAAAAAACATGAGCAACGGATAAACGTAAAATTTTCTCGTTAAACTAAAACAACCTCCAACTGAGTACTATAAGTTGTTAAAAGAGGTCTATAGTGAGGATTTTTTATCTCGGGCGTGTGTTTTTGAGTGATATAAATTATTTTCTGAAGGTCGAGAGTGCACCGGAATCCAATTCAGTCGTAATCCAAATTCAAAACCGTTTTCTTCGATATCAACGGCATCGTGATGACTGAATGGGTTCCAGAGGGTCAAACTATGNTGTGGAAAAACAAGTCGTGGATCTTGCACCAGGATAACGCACCTGCCCATAACGCGCTGTCTGTGAAGCGTTATTTGGCCGCTTAAGGCACTCCAGTACTCGAACACGCGTCTTACTCACCCGACTTGGCACCCTGCGACTTTTACTTATTTCCGAAGATAAAGTCTGCCTTAAAAGGAATCCGGTTTGAGTCGATGGAAGAGATGAAACAAAAATCGGTGGAACTCCTGAATGGTCTTACGAAAACAGACTTCCAGCACTGCCTGGAGCAATGAAAAAAACGAATGAAACGGTGTGTGGCGAGGGGAGGGGAGTATATTTAAGGGGAACATTTGAATGTAGAATAACTTTTATAATAAAAAAACTTTTTCGTACCCAGTCTCGTTATTTAATAGCTATACCTTGTATTACACAAAAATTAAATCAAATTATTACAGCGAACAGTATGATACTTCATAAATCCTAAGACTGATAACAGATAATTAAAATTGAATTTCAAAAAAAATCATTCATCTTCAACTCGTCTACTCCAACGTGCCTGTTTATAAAAATCAACTGTGCAAAGTTAAGTTTTATACGAGTGAATTTTAAACTAGTTAAGTGATTCAGTTTATGTTACAAATATTTAATTAGATAGTTATAGTTAAAAGTTTAAATAAAAGATAACTGTCTAACTTGAAATGAACTTTTTAACTACCCATTGGATTGTAAACGACCACCTTTGCCAATATAATATTAATATTTTATATACGTCTAGTCTGGTTTTTTTTTGTTTTTTACTGTCGTGACGACACGACGTCGGTCGATGTGATGTGTTTACTAAAAAACAAAAAAACCGATTTTCGCACACGATCGCCGCGTGTATATACTATATACGCATATTGTAGAACAGTGAACACGTGTTACGAATTTGTTTATGTTTTTTTTCTAATAATTTATGTGTTTTTTTTTTTTTAAAATATTTTCCTATATCGATATAATTGTATAATACTATAACGTAATTGGAATAGACGGTCGGGGCAGTGTGCGGGGCTCGCGGCGGTAGAGGTGAACGGATTAGTGACATTTATTAGGTCGGCTAAGTATGTAATGTGTAATGTATGGCGGCGTGTCGGAATAAATATAACCCGCGTAAACAAATTCCGCGGCCGAATACTTTGCTGTCTTGTCTCCGGACGCCGCATCTCAATAATAATAACAATTATTATTATAATATTGCGCAAGGATCATGTTGATATGCGAAATGAACGTCTAGACGTACGATATATAGATTAGAGATGTGGGCTTGGTAAATGTACACAGTAAAATTTTACCGAAGTTTTGTTTTACCCGGTACATTTTTTTACCAATTAAAAACCAAGTGATTCCTCATCTCTCAAAAACTCAAACTCAAAATTTGAACTTAAAACGTGAATAAAATAAAAATTACTTCTTTAAGCTCAAATTTTGACCACTAAGTACAACTTATAACGAACTTCACGTTCATGCATATCTGTTCCACCCAAGACCTATAAATTCTTCCATGCCCACTAAAATATGTCTATAATAACTAAAAATTTGCCAGAACGTTTTTAAAATAAAACCACATAAATTTCAAATATCTATACATTTTTTTAAAATTATAAACTAGTTATTAATAAAATGATTTGAATATTGTATATTTAATACATTTAAGTGCATAAATTAATGCATTTTTTAAAGTTTCGTATGACATGAAGTACCTAGCCTTAGTTATCAGGTATGATATTAGTGATACATTAATGATTTTGATGAAGAAACCGTACAAAAAATGTATTCTATTTTTCTTTGTGAGCTTAGTTTTTGTTTGCTCATCAAAATATATTGTCTGATTTTTTCACCAAACAAATGGTGTATAAGTCGTGTGGTTTATTATATAGTCAATGTTATAAGTGTAGGGTTTCGAGACCGTACAATTCGCTGTTTCGTAAGATTAACTACCTATTTCATCACTTTGGAGACGAAAAATATTCACTTTGCCCCCAAACGCCGATCGATTTGTTACCATTGGCTGAAATTTAGTATATGGGGCGAGGGTTTGATTCCCGTTTACTAACAAGCAGGACTTTTTATCTCCCCCAGGGAATCGTCAAAAGAAATCGAGTAACCCGTATAACAACCCGACCCCAAAACTATTACGGAATAAAAAATATCTATTGGCTTTTGCGATTATACTCGTAATAATATTAGATATCTGGTATATGCATTCTATCCGTATTGCGAAAAACAACGATAAGAAACATCGTTACGTCAATGAAGGTTTTTAATGTTTTTGAAATAAATCGTTAAATAAAATATTTTATTATAATATACGCAAACAGTTCGCATAAACTCACGTGTATAATTGCTTATTTTAGTTCGGTTTATAAAAAATATTGATTAATGGAAAAAAAAAACGAACTCGATATTTTATCCTTTATTTATTTATTTTTTTTTTTTTACTATGTATAACGCAGTTAGGAAAAAATTGAATGTTATTTATTTCACAAAAAATAAAAAATCTTCAAACAATATGTCAATGTATAATATTATTATAGTTCCCTTTTACTGAAATTAAATCCGAATTATTAATAAAAAATAAAAAATAAAATATTTTAAACATTTCACAAGAGATACCTCCGCTCATTTGATGTCGACTACAAAATATCGTTCATCAATAATTTTCGAATTAATATAGTTGTAAAAATAAATATTAGAATTACAGTAGATAAATATAATTAGATTCTGAATAGAGGTTACTTCGCTTTGAAGACATGTATAAGGAATTAAAAAAAAAAAACATTATTTTCAACGCACGTCAAAAAGATAAGAAATTTTACAAAAAAAAATACTCTAAAAAGTTTTCAATTGAACCAAAATCAATTCTGGACGGAAATACTTGTTAAATGCAAAAAAAAAAAAAAAAAAACAAATAATTTGTGTTTCTTCAAAAATATAATATGTGAAGTAATAGGACGATATTATAAATTGTGCGAAGTGTATACCAATGCACTTGATATTATGATGTTGGGTTAAAAGTGAGACAAAAATCTCTACTTAAAACCCGGTAAAAATTAATTTTACAAATATAAGGGGGTCTGGGTAGTTTATCCCCAGAAAATAAAACGAATTTCCAAAGCTTGGCTTTTCTCAAAAAATTGTTTGAGGAATTTGCTCCTATGGTCAAATAAAATATTCCTGTTGGCTATTCAATTATGGTGTTAAATAAAATTTAAAACCAAACCTGCCGTTTTAAAAACCTGGGCACGCCACTGACTATGGTGCACAGGTATTTTTAAGATCGATCAGACGGACGATGTTTCGATGAAAATGTACTTCTCTTACGATCTAATTACGAATTGTCATTATTTCTTTTTTTTTTTAACAATAAACTTTTTTACGTCTTACCTGCAAAATACGCGAATTATTACTGCGAACAGAAATCTGCGTGTCGGAGATGATTTTATAAAATAAGGGACGGTTACGTTTATATAATATATTATAAAGGGAACATAAACTGCGGCCATTAGTACCGCGATGTTGGATAATAATAATAATAATATAATGACTGCATCTTTATCGAGGCATCTGATATTTTGACAAATAACGGCGGCGGCGGTGGCTGTGGGCGCAATCTTTACAAATTGACGCATCTTCCGGAACATGAGTTATAGTAACAATAATAATAATAATATCCGTTTAATAATAATATTGTATTATCCTGCAGAATACGTCACCAAATCTGCCGTCTAACAAATTAAAAAAGGGTAAACAAGTGTTGTTTATAATTATGTATATATAAATATTTTACAGGATAAAAAACTTAGAAAAATTCGTATTTTAAACCAAACTACTACTTAACGTATATAATAAAACTTAGTCTTACTATTGTATATTATCTTATTTTCATAATTAGATTATTAATTATTTTATATCGACATCGACGCGAATACCATCTGTTCCGTTTTTTTGAGCACACAAATTCCAGTGGTTTTCTATCATTCGAGAAGAATCAATATCCGACCTATTAATTTCATTAAGAACATTCAAATATAAGTCAAATAAAATTAAGCAATAGATACATAACATCAATCGGCCCTTTGATGATACCACCGTGTAGTCATCATTCTCTCGCCCTATGTACCATTATAATTATTTCTATACAAATTTCAAATCAACACATAACACTAATTTTTTTATGGTTGACTTTTTTTTTTGGCTTATTTAAACATATAAAATTTAACGGTTTTTTCAATTGAAAATGAAGCCTCTTGACCCTTCGAGAAATCCCAAGACGATCACTCTGTCGAGGATCCTGCACGCAGCAACAACTACACTACCCCAATTTACTTCGAGGATCTCTCTCGGATAGCTTCGACTTTTAGCAGCTATAATCATTCGTGTTCAATTTATTTATTAATTTACTTTATATTTTAACCTTTTATTTTCCTAATTCATAGATTATCATTTTTAATCTGAGTGCACACAGATGCTAAGTGTTCATTAATTAAATTAGTTTATCTTAATTAAATTGTGATTGCCATCCAACGACTCCAGGTTCACGTGAGGTTATCCATAAGTATACACCTTAGCGTTTCAACACCGTGGGCAGGTAAAATAATTATATCTTTCTTTAATTATTGATTTCGTAACCATTCTCGGATTCACGACTCTGAATCCCTTTTAAACATCGTAAGGAATATAGTGAGATAACTAGTAGACTGAACTTTTATTATGATTAAAGATAAATCACTCTTTGTAGTACCAAAACCTAGATAAATTGTTTTATATTATATAAGTATATTTTTATACCTACTCCTCTATATTTTATTCTTTGTAAGTACTTCTACGTAATATCCTATTATTTTAAATATGTTTGTCTTCTATTACTATACTAAGTGTCTTAGTCTATTATTATCTCACTCCTAACCACAACTTTATATTTTTCCCCCTACCACTTTTATTCCACCTTTTTATTTTTCCTATTTCTTGTATTACTACATAATGAACAAGTTAAATTTATTAAAAAAAAAAAAAAAACATATATTTAACAAGATTTATATATACCTTAATAGTAAGTTGAGTATTTAAGAAACTATAAAACGTCTTTATTATGGTTGTCCTTATAATGCGATAATGTAAAATATTTTGAATAGTGTTTTATCTTTAAAAACAATTTTAAAGTCTTTTTCTTCTATTTATTTTTTTCTACATGAACACATATATTTTACTTATGTTAATAAAATTACACATTAAAAGTATAAACGGTAATCGACTTTTGATTTCAGGCTAGAATCCGTGCCAAATTGGTAGAAAAACGGGCATGCGGGGATTTTAGCAACAGGGAAACATGGCGGAATTTAATTTTGAAATGTGGCTGAAATCGGCTGATGGATGTGCAGATTTATGGTGCCTACAAACATTGTATTACTAAACATTACACTGTATACTTTCCACTCGATCACAATATTATTATTTTATTTATTGTTAGTTTTAAGAAAATAATAACGGTTTTTTTTTTTTAACTCAACCTTAACTAACTGGCCTCCATCACACGGCCAAACGAATGTGTTTCGTCGTCGTCGGTTTGTATAATTTGTCGCCGACGCGATTCGTCTTATTACCCATATTTTCTTGGCGAACCGCTAACTTGACGAAAGGTATCCGTCGCCGGATGATGATTGCGTTTTTACTATAGATAGTTTTACATTTATTTTTTTTTATAACCACGCCGCGTAATATTTCGCACATAACACGGACCACGCACCAAATGTGCATGTTTTTTTTATTTTAGTAAATTAAAAACAAAAACACATCCCGGTCCGTTAGAATTCCACCGTCAAAGCTATTGATTTTTCTCCGCACGTATACTATAATATAGTTTCACGTCCAAGCTATATAAATAATATATCACAACTTAACAAAACAAATATATATATATATATTATTACGTGTACGATTTTTCAGGCAATTATCGTATTTTTTTTTTTTGTTGACCGATCGTTTCGGATACGCCACATTTATATTTCAATAACATGCAGCCAAAACGTTCACGATTTAATGCAAAATACTGTCCATTATATTTGAATGGTGGTTGCAAAAATAGTTTTTTTAAGATACAGATATGGTTACAGATAATACGTACATAATATAATAGATAACACTAAACAAATTTCATCAAGACAAAATGTTATATAACCTCGTTTTTATCCACATAAAAACTAGATAAGTTTTTAGAGATTTTAAAGACTTTAACAAAATATAAAAAAACCTGTGAAATAGTAATATATAATTTATCTTCTATGTATCCAATTTGATCATGAATTATGATTTATGTTTCATAAAGTCATTGTAAATCATAATGTATACATTTATTGATAATTTAAAATCAATAAAATAAATTACGTTTCACAAACATTTTACAAACATCGGCATTCACTACTCATTAAGGACCACAAAATGTATTTATTTAAAGCCATCAAATAAGATTAACATAATAAATTTTGTAAATGAATTCGTTAATTATAAAGCCATAATATTGTTTAAGGACATATATAAAAACATTATTTTATGCTTAACACTGATATTATTTAATAGTTATGATGACTTAAAGAAAAAAAAAAATGTTCAAGTCAATAAGACCCGGTCTTCTTCACAGTAGCCTTTAGGCTACTGTAGGTGGAACTTACTACTCCAACAATATAGTTTTTATAGGTATGTAGAATTAATAGATTTGGCGTAAACAAAAATTGTATCTTTTTTATTTTGGCGTAAATGATAGTCAGTGAAGACGAAAATACCATTTTTGCGATACAACGATGACCGCGTATTATTATGTATTTCACCATTGTACGATTGGATTTTAATATTTTATTAATATTATAAGACTACCCCATGGCATAGCCCCACATATGAAAACAAAAAGTTTATGTCTGTTTTTTTTTCGCAATGAAAATGATAAAAGAAATCTAACAAAACGCATCGTTCTTCACCCGTCACTCTGATGATAAAAATCTGCTGTAAATACATATACTGTATACCTTTACTTATTTATTACACGGCAATAACTCGGATGATGTTCGTGAATAGAAGAACAACGAAAAAGTATGTGTTTTTTATACTCCTTTTCTTTATAACATGTACAGTACATGAATAGACGTGTGCGAGTGTATACATTGAAAACGATTACCCGTATCGAAACACTGACCCTAATGTCATAGTGGCCACAAAAAAAAGGTGAAAGATCAGTCGAACCCGGTTTTTCCTTACATTTTAAATCGAATGGTTTTTAACAATAACGAGATGGACGCATTTTACGATTCGTCGTAATTTTACGGTTCTCATCAAAATTCGAACATAATAATATTATCGAATTAATATAGGAAAAAAATGCCCAAAGATGGCCAATATTTTTATCCAGATAAAAGATAAAGATAGTTAATAAAGTTCTGTGTCTAAAACAAAACTAAATTTCAATTATCTAATAAAAACATAAAGATAATATAGATGTAATGTATTCAAATAATTTATATAAATATTACTTTGAGAGGGCAGATGATTCAGATGATATAAAAGTTAAACATAATATTATAAATTATTAAAAATTATAGATCTGGTTCATGTAAAAAGGATTTGGAAACAATTATATTTTATCTATATCAAGATACATGTTACTTAAAGTACAAATCTATCTAATATTTTTAAATATGGAATACCAGTTATTTTAGTAGATACGTACTATAATGTACTAATATAACGCATTTGAGTTAATGATTGATAAAAAAAAAAAAAATTACCTAGCTAGTACCTATTATCTACGAATTGACCACAAATAATTACAAAGATTAAGACAAAAATTAAATATATTATTTTTATCTAGATAAAAGATAGCATGTCCGTTATCCTATTTATCTTTCAGATGATTTGTTCTGGTCTAGATTACAACACTACGTAGCGTGTAGCATGTAAGACCAATATTATTGCGGTATAAACATAATTGTATCATCATTCGAACATTATTGTATCGTACCAAAAGTTTTAACTTTACTAGCATAAAATATTGAAAAGCTATAGTTAATATAAAACGCAAAACGTTCACAATTATTTTACGAATTTCATGATATTATATATTATACGCGTGTGGTTCGATCTAAAAAACAGTTTTCTAATCGAAAAGGCAAATGACTTATTTGATTTTATTTACGTAGATACGTTGCACACGATATTCTAATATGACGACAACGTTTTATACGGAGGGAGTTTCGTATATGGTGGTGGATAAAGAAATAAAATATCTCTTTGGATGATGTCCAAAAAAGTTTAAAACGATCTTTGCGATTCGGCGCTGCACGATTTCCGATTGGCAAAAAACAAAACTGTTTGCCTGGTATTATAGTGAGTAAAATACTTGTGCTATAAAATTGTAAAGACCAACTTACTGCACGGTGACGAAACAAACTTCTCCAGTCTTTGAAGCGAAATGTGCGTACTTTATATAAAATAATTCAATTAAACTACTCTGTACAGCGTTTATTTCAGGAGGGTGACCGGGGAGGGGTTCCCCCCCTCCCCTGACAAAAATGTTTACTTCCCATAAAAAAATTGAAGCTTACTATGAAAACTAATGATAAAATAAAATAAATATTATGATAAAAGATTGAATATGATATATAAATAACTTGATTTGTATGCATGTCAAAAGCAGCGCCACATTCGTTTAGATTAGTTTATTTTACTGAGAACTATGATATTAATAAACCTAATAATAAATAATAATCTATAATTTATGCAGTATAATAATTAATAATAATACCATATTTCAGTAAGATTTTTTTTTATTACAAAGAATTTACTAAAATAAGTTTTTTTTTTTTTAATTTTTTTATAATATACCTTTGTATTCGAATATGAATAAATTCAATACCTACCTATTAGATAGATATCTAATATCAATATAAATGACTTTTAAGAAATGTTAGGTTTTATTAGCTATTACTCATTAGTCATGTCTTATGTGAACAAAAAATACAAAACAAATTTTGTATTCAATTTATTTTCACCATTATTTGCTCTTATCTTAATGTACCCTCTGGGAAATGTACAATACCTCCCAGAAAAAAAGATCTGGAATAAAAACTGACTCTGTATATAATAGCACCCAATTTTCCAAAAAACAGTAGCACATCCAAGAGCAATATCATCTTATTCTTATGCTAAATTATTATTTTTATTAAATATTTATGATGAAGTTTCGGTTTTGTTGATAATATATCTAGGTTAATGTTGTCAATTTTGTCATAACGATCTTAAATAAATTTATTTTGTAAACATAGTTTTCAAAATAACCAAATTAAAACATGAAGATTATTACTGGTGCAAATTAAATACTTATAGTTTGATTTGACATCTGTTTTTTTTTTTTTTTTAAAACAAAAAGTACACCATATGGTGACTTAAGATATTTTCATTTTCAGTACAATTATATGTAAAAGCATACAATATGACCAATTAGACCAAACAAATAAAGTGAACACAATTATTTAAAAAAGAGCTGATACTGGAGATAGTTGCGGCCACTGTTGAAGATGGGTAGTTGGAAAGATAGGATACATACATTTATTTAATTTATATCTATATTCAACGATAAGCCATTGCTAAATAAAAGCGATTTGGAGCGAAGTTTGGTTATTCATGTTTTAAAAGGTCGTGATATTTAAGATTTTCATCAAAATTTTATTTTAAAACTCAAAAAATAAAAAACACATTAAATTCATTTTTTTTCCTCTTAGTGTGACTTATATTGAACTTCCTGTCATATTTTTAAGCATATCTGTTAAGTCTAAAAAAATTATCCCATAGAGTACCTGTCAAATAATAATTATGTAAAAAACTGGAAAACAGCTTGGCAAATCACAAAATATTCTATCTAATACATCAACTAGAAAAAATTTCTATTCAGAAATGATACTACACTTGGTACTTCGGAGAACAATTTCTGGTAGAAAAGTTGTTTACTGACAGAAAACAAAAATACATCATAGTAAAATCAATAAATCCCTCGCTACTCTCTGAATCTAAAAATACCAAAAATTCAATTGAGTCCTTTTTTCCTAAAACCAAAAATATTAATATTATATAATGTCTTACTGCAGTGGTGATTTTAATGCCGTGTAAGCTTTGAGTAAGGGTAGGGTGGTGATAAAGGTAGAGTAGTATTTCAAAATTTATCCTCTCCCCTAAATATTAAGCATCCGTATAAGTAATGTAAAAAGTGAAATAATAGTGAATAATATTGTTCATTTTTAACGAAACAAATATGATATGTTTTCATCAACCGACATTTTTTCTCGTGTTCGCTTATAAGTATTTTTTTACTTAACGTTTCAGTTTAATAGATTTTTCGTAAATCTGTTGAACAAGGAACGTCCTTTTTAATCGTAATATAGGTCATATTTAAAGCCACCTTAAACTCCATCACTGAACACTTACCATAACAATTTATTTTACCCACAGATTTTAATCGTCTATGGGACGCACAACGCGAATATTGTAGGAATCAAGCCCAACTCGCTGACCACTCGTTTCACCGACAGATTGCAGTCACATAAAATACAAAAACATTATTTTGATGTGGAAATCTAGAAAACTACAAACATTACACCTTGTACCAAAGAACTAAAAAAATCAACAAATATCTTTCGAGCTTGAACTCTTAAAGCAATAAAATGTGGTCAACCACAAAATATGACGTATAAATATAAAAAAATCAGTAAAAAGATTATCGTTTGCAAAAGAACGGTTAGTAGGCATAACATTTACAATTAATGTGTAATGGCATAACACTAGTTTTTTTTTTCATCTAAGAATGGTACGATTTGTATAATAAAATATCCGACGCAATAGTTTTCCATTTTCATCTTGAAAACAAACACACATTAGATTAATTACAATACAATTTTATAAAACGATAGTTAATTTGAATAATATATTTGCGGTAAAATAAATGTATATATTTTTTTTTATAATACAATACTAAATGATTATTATAATTAATATTAAATTAAATAATTTGTTAACGAATCGAATTGTTAGATAATCAGTACGACACGGATTGTCGGTCCGGAAGGATATTCGAGATTTAGAGGAGGCTGGTCAATTGCGTACAGCCAAAACATTGACCGGTAACACGTTTAATTCGGAGGATAATCATTTTTATTTTTTACTCGTAACACCGACTAATTCCGTCAAACAAACGACGTTGTTAGTGTCTAAAATGTTTTGCATAGTATATAAAACGTTTTTCCTCCGTTATGCTACTGTCACCACCGCTGACAATCTGCTCTGAAAAAAAAACACTGCAGAACTCAAGCCATCGTCACCGCGGTCTCCGAATAATTTCAAATTTCCACATAGTTTTGATTAATGCCATTTACGTAGGTACACATTTTATCATGTTAAAAGTGTAATAACATTCCAAGAACATTTCGAACATTGTTTCATGGCAGTTCATTCGCTACCTACCACTTTATTATGCTTTTTAGATTCTCAGTGGAACGAGGAATTTATTGGTTTTACAATGATATTAATATATTTTCTTTATTTTATTTTTTTGAACAACCCTTCTACCAGAAATTTTCTAGTGTAACAATTTTTTTTGAAAGTAAATATTTGTTAGGTGGTACTTTAGGCAAGTCATTTTTTTTGATTCTCCCTAGAGTTTTCACAATAAACGGGAAACACCGGGAAAAAACCGGAAGATTTACGAAATAATGTATGATTTTCAAATCGTAAATATTAAAGCCTTTCAAAGCATGTAAAACCGAAGTCCGCTAAGAATCGTTTTTCGTTAGCAATTGCCAATCATTTCGTAGGTACAGATATACATTAAATTTCCATTCTACCATCTCAACTTCTCATCTATAACGGTGGCCCACCAATCGTGTGAAGTAGGTATGTCCGTTTTTTTTCCAATCATTTTGCTACCTCAGAAATATCTTAAAAAAAAAATTAATTTTCTTTCGGGTACCGCGTTAAGTATTACACCCATGTCATCATGTCATCATTTAGAGTTGTTCAATAATAATTTTATTTTTTTTCTTTCAACCGTTTCGTATGTTATTTTCATCTTGTAAATTGAGGTGAAAAACACGATAAAAAAAAAAAAAAAAAACCCGTAGCCATCGAAACGAGTTGCAGTTCGCGTGCTAACAATCGGGGATATTGCGCGAGGAACACACCTTACCCACCAACATAAAAAAGAAAAATGCAGTCCGTCCCCGTCTATAACCGTCAGGCAGTGTACGTCATAATGTTATATTATAATAGCGGATGTTATTTACCTTGATCGGCGGAGTTTATACAAAATTCGTGTTAATACAAGTTTATTTTTTTTTCCCGAAAATTCCAAAAGAATCGCACAACGGAACCGATCGAAAGAAACAAAAATAATCAAAACTAAAAAAAAAAAATTAAAAAACTGCTTACGCGAAAAACAGGCCGGCGAACAAACGACCGGCAAGTCGAAAAACGAGAGCGAAGAAAAAATAATAACAAAAATTATAATCGAAAGGTAGAAAAAAAAAAAAAACGACAAAACCGCGCGAACCGAAACGCGGAAAATCGCACTCCGACACGGCACGCGGAGAACAGCGGGACAGCCGAGCGTAGTGCGGGCGCGTAGTACCGGCGCGGCCTCTGTACTGGCGCGAGCGCGACGACCGCCGCGACGGTTTTACTATTTTATAATATTGTACGGCGTATGTGTACGGCGGCGCGACACGGCGATTCGCTCGCTACCTCGCTGGCTCGCTGTCCGACACACGCGCGCACGCTATCCTCGCTGGCTATGCACAACAACAACAACAATAATAACAACGCGACACGCGCACACAAGCGCACGGCCACGTACCACGTTCGAGCGGCGGACGCACGGCCACGTACACGCGGACGCCGGGCCCGTACAACAACTCGCGCGCGTGAGAGCGCGCCCGCGCACAGACACACCGCCGCGACGACAACGTACGGTTGCGCGCGTCGCGAGGTACCATAATGGTATAGGCCAAAAGCTCCGCCGCCGCCGCCACGTGACGTCACGCACGTGAAAAAGACGCGAGTGCTCGGTCACGACGCGGCGGCCGCGGTCGGCCCGGCACCCGTGTACGGCGGCCTTCGCCCGGTTATCCGTCGTCGGCGGGCATTTGGGGCGACGAACCTTGTCGGGGGACGGTGTTAACCGGTACTCCGGCGGGCCGATTCGCCCCCCCCCCGTGGCCGCAGAACCCGTTTCGTTTTCGATATTCCCAGCGGAGTCGGTGTACCCTTTTATTTGGGGTATTTTTTTTTTGTTTTTTTTAAACTCTAAGTGGATTGACGAGAGTTTCGGTTTTATCGGCGAATTTGTGCGCTTATTATTGTTATTATTTTTTTATTTTTTTTTTCGTATCTGTTCATAATTTTTCAACCAACAATCTTGATCTAATCGAAAAATAACAAGAGATTTTTTTTTCGTAGCACTTAAGTCGGTTTCATCGGTTCAGGCTCGACCCGCTAATTACTCGTTTTGCCGATGCGAAAACCGGTCTCCGATAAAAATGAAAAAAGTACCAATTCGCCGACGGATCGTACTTTCAAGCCAAATATTTTTTTAATTTAAATTAATAAGCTCAAAAACCAACAAAAAAACTTTGAGCTTGATCTCGTAGCAAAAAAAAAAAAATACAAAAGATGAAAACTAAATATAGAAAATTAGAAGAAAGTTTATCGTTTACAAAAGAAAGGTATAGAAGTTATAAACTTGAATGACATTTAATAATTCATTATTTTATAATAAAGTTTCAAATTACAATTTTAGGTTATAAAATGGTACGATTTGTATTAGGTATGGAATACGTTTTGTACGCAATATGTTCCATTTTCATTTAGAAAACAGAAGCTTGTAAATTTTAGGTATATTTTTGTATACAGATAATAATCGACTTGAACAATGTTAGTGATTTATACAAATAATTTAAATCAATAAGAAAATTATATTTCTTAATATAAGTATAATTCATTTTGAACTAAATATTTTTATCGGGTATCGGCAAATCGGTACAAAACGGTTAATCGGGGAGGTAATTATTTGATTTTTCGAACTTTACTTAGAATTGTTTTTCGTTAGCAAAGCTTAGTATACAGATATAATTAAAATCAGCGGTTTCCAAACTTTATACATCTAAGTATACAGCTAAGTATACTAAGGTCGTTTAGTATTATTTATAATATTTAGGTATAGTAGGATTTTTTACATTTTTGTTAATTTCAAATTTAATCGTATGAAAAAAATCTATTTCATAATATCAGTAATATCAGATATTAAAATTATTAACATTTTAATTACCAATGAAAATTAGTGTTGATGTTGTCTGTATATTCCTCATGGTATTCACGGCAGGGAACCGTGGCTGAATTCAGTTCGAAAAAGGGCATCTTTGAAATATAAGTATGGGAACCGCTGATTTAAATAATTTAACGTTATCTACCCTGCCGATTTCTCGCTTGCAACCGTAATAGAGTATTTCCCACTATCAGGTCTTTTTTTCTCCGTCTGTAAACGAATCTTTATATCACAAGTTACTCGTTTCAAACGAATATTTAAAATCGTAAAGCAGAATTGGTTCGGATCCGATCGGGAACGTTTCCCCGGCGGTATAATAACGGAGAGGAAACAGAAAAATAAATGTCGGTAAAACGGAAACGTATACTCGTGCTCGTGACCGATCGGTTCGTTCCGCCAGGTAATATTATATTAAGGATGCGGTGTTGTTTTTTTTTTTTTTTTTTAATCGATCAGATTTCGATTTATGTGAGGGGGAAAAAATGTACACACATATATACGTATAATATGTACTCGACCGACCGCGGGTGTATTTCGAACGCGTATCGGTATGTATTTCGGGATTACGGGCGGCGCGCACCGACTGCTGAACGAAGACAAATGACGGCGAGATAAACCACTCGATTGAAATAGGTATTTAACGAAATAGGTATCGATATTGAAAATAGTTATCTTCGTAAAAGGTTCGTGGCCATTTTCTACAATAAATTCACGACATTTTCTCTCTCTCGGTGTGTACGCCTCAGATTGGTAGGGGATTCTTTATATTATATCGCGAACCGGCGAAGCGACCGCCACGACAGAAAATGCCCAGTAAATTGTACGATGTATTATTTTTTTTTCTTTGAAAATTGTATAAAATCGTTTAAAACAATCCTGTTTACGATATTCTCCGTAATCCGCGTTAATATACCTAATATAAAAACGAATGTGTTTTTGATTTTCGATTTGCAATCTACATATAATACTATCCTTTGCCAAAACTTTAAAACGGAAAATTTCGTCAACGTCAAAATGTGTTTACACTAATAAAGCCAATCGAAAGACGGGTAGTCGTAAAACCCTCTATAAAAAATAGAGTAGCAAAAAATATTAAAAATATAACATTTCAGAGCTGCTTGTTTCTTAAATTTTCAAAAAAATAAAACTGTATAAGGATGATAGGGACGGGTGCAGTCACTGTTTTAGTCTGTATGTGGGAAGTTGGAACGGTGGGATACAAAAGGAAATTTAATGTACCTACATCTGTAAGTAAAAGTAAACCATTGTTAACGAAAAAACTATTCTGAGCAGAACTCAGTTGATAGTGATGTTTTGTCAACAATATAATATATGCCATATTATAGTAAAATAATCAAACAGGCATTGTATATTTTCTTTAATAATATTCATTTAATATTGTATTGATTTTCCGGTTTTCCTACGTTTTTCCCGATTTCCCCATGTTTTTTCCGGCTTTCATTAAATGATCGGCGCATTGGAAAAATATTGCCGATAGAAATTTGTCCACTGGAAAAAAAAAGTCTAATACCTACATTTCTAACATTTTCCAATGCGTTTTTTTTTTTTTAGTTTTTCACATATGCTGGAAAATTCTTGAAAAAAAAAAATCGAAAAATTACCTCCTTAAAGTATCTTTGCAGTCAGATTTGCTTTCAGAAATCATTGTAAATTGGAGCAAAATGGTACCTACAAAAAGTGTTCATAAAAAAAATTAAATATATATATAATTAAAAATAAATATCTTTGCAAAATCAATACACTACACTCAGAATCTAATACAATGTTTAAAAAAAGTCAATATACTTTGAAATAACGGGAGTTTAAAACGAATCACTCTGTATTTCAAAACCATACACGATTGGCAAGGTTGAGTATAATAATATTATTATATACACGATTATCACAAATTTGCGTTGTTTTTTATCATATTATTATTTTAGTTGGTTTATTTTCTTCGCTCCGTGAACATAATATTATTAAAATGGACAAAGCGGTGACCCACGCGATCCGATTAAAAAAAAAGAATCGTTATGCGCTTTGATATCCCGTTCGTTTTGTTTCTTATCTCGAGAAAACCAGCGGACCAACAACGACGTTTGTTTTCGCATTTATTTTTAAAACGATCGAAAACAACACTTTGAAGATATTAATCTGAACAGTAATAATAATAATAATAATAATATGATATAAATAAAACTCGGATATAATGACGTAGGTAATTCCTTCTGTTTTTTTTTTTTTTTAATGTTTTTCTCGGATATAATCGTTCTGAATAATATTTCTAATAATATTCTAATAATAATAAAGTTTGTTCCTTTTCCGTAAAAAAAATCGTAAGGCAAAAAGTCGATTGCTATCGGACAACACCGTGAAAGTAACCGCATATACTAATTTTGGAATTAAGATCCGTATAAATATGCGATAAACAAAATATTATATTTGCTGCTATGAATGTACATAGATTTTATTCCGGTGAAAGAACAACACTGTGAATGTCGCTATTTTCCAACAAATATGTATTAAGATGGTATGATACCCGCATGTGTTATCTCCGTCTAATAAATGTACGACAGCGAATTTATATTCAGTAGGGACAACAAGGTGCTTTTATTTTCGATATTACAGTAAATTGACATAACATTATTATCAAACATTAAGATAAAACAACATTATCGTAACGTTGGCGTTAAATTGCCGATATTTAAATATTCAAGAAAGATTCGAGTATATGAAATATGACGATTTCATAATGTTTACATTATTTCAATTAACTTCGGTATTAAAACTAACAGTACAATGTTGTCCGTGCTGAACAAAAATTGTCTGTGTCGTACCTTCGTTTACAAGACAAAGACGGATTGTTGATTTGTATATTTTGTATATATTGACTAGTCAACAATAGTTTCACGTTATCGTTTTTCAAATAAATTTCTAAATATTTTTGAAATCGTAGAACTCAATCCCGGAATATTTTTCGAAAATTAAGTTTCTGACATTAATATTATTAACTACAGTATTGTTATAATAATATATATTTATAAGCTTATTTATAATATAACTGATGTTGTATTATTATTTTTATTCGGTTAATGTCCGATTTCGATTTGTTTTTTAACAGTCTAAAAACGGTCGCCCTGTATATACAGTAAGCGTTCAGTTATATTGTATTATGTGAACCAAATTGAACCTACAGCAGTAGTCGAGGCGGCCGTCCATCGGTTTAGACTTCACGCGGATAACGAGAACATTAAACAATTATTAGGGAATTCAATTACAATCGGGGAAAGAGAACTCGGAGGGATCCCGTACAAATAGCAAAACCTCGGTGGAAAAACAAAAATATCGAGTAAGTGAACGCCCATTTCTTATTCACTTACTTATATAAGTGTGCAATTATTTACTTCTAACAATGAAATTGATTTTTTTTTTTTATTTATAAAGTTAAATAGTGATTTTTTTTCTCGAATTGATTAAAATGTAAGTAAAATCTACCGTTTTATACTGATGATCGACAAGCGTACAGAAAAATAAAACCTAAAATAATTATGTCAGATGGAGAGGCCATTATTTAAGCATGTGCATAGCGTGCACAAGCATAGGGCACATGAATTCTGAGAGTACTTCCAGACTCTAAAAATAAAAAAAATATATATATGTCCTTTAAAGATATATTTGATAGATATACGATTAAGTGTATAATAAGCAATTATTATTTAACAGAATTTAAAAATATTTTTTTTTATTGAACTGTACCATAAATCTTTCATTTTTCGCACTTAAACTTGTGACAAATAGAAAGCCATTTTACTCAAGAAACACTAAATTTGTTATCATTACTTATACTGATAATCAATCATGATATTTTTAAAAAACAACTAAATTTTGATGATACTATGCAAAAAAAAAAAATTAAAAATACCATACCAATAGTAATTGACTTTAAACAAACTTGTACGATGTACAGATTAAACTCGTGTTTGATAAGTGTGCCTATTATACATACGTAATACTGTTCTTTTTTCTGTTTTGTTTTGTGCAATGTTTATAGGCAAATGCTTCTAGGTAAATCCAACAAAACCTACGAAAATTCCTAATCGCTTTATTGTGTATAATATCATAAAATAAATCAAACTATAACATACAGTTTCTGAAAAACTATGTTAACTGTCAAATATTAAAACATATTATACAGTATATTATAATACACTATTTTTCAATTTTTCTTTTTCGTAATATCCCGGACGTAATAAATCGGTCACCCCCAAACAACCGAAACATCGAACGATTCGTTTTTAGATATATTATATAATTGGATTTTTCGAGTGTATAATATAACGTGTAGGCTCTTCTTCTGTCTCGTTTTTCGCGTGGGCCAGATCGAAAACTGGTAAGTTATCTATATACGCTCGCAGTGGCTCGTTATGAAACTATATTATCATACTTCCTCTCCTCCTAGTATCTAAAAATATAATCGTACGAATAAAAGTACGAAATAATAATGTATACGGTCTAAAATTATATATGCGAACCGCTGCCGCGCTCCCGACGACGATCACGTGCGTTTCTCCGCAAAACGTCTCGCAATCGAAAATAGGCTGCACTCAAAAGTAACACCGTTACGCCTGTTTCGTATTTTCAAGACGAATGATTGATACAATAAAATATATTAATTTTTTATCGCTCGTGTTTATTATTTAGACGCGAACAGGTGCAGCGTTACACACGCTGTACAGGGCGATTGACGTAACGTAAGACGCTCATTATCTCGGAAAGTACAATAGCATTTTGCTATTGTAACAAGTGTCGTTTGTTGATCGTGCTTGTATAGTAATATATTAATTAATATGATGTTATTATATTATTATCGAGTAATTCTAATATTCAGACAGATTAGGAAAGCCCGGTATATTCCCAGTTTCTAAAAAATGAATTTTGTACAGTAATCTGCTGTAATTCGATATATAGTTTTCGCATTTTAGATTCTGAGAGAAACAAGAAATTTATTGATTTTACACGATGTTTTTTTTTTTTTATTATACT